TTCTATATAATCTTCATAAAGTACGTTTCTAATAGAAATTAGCTAAAATTAGAAAAAAAAACTAGTTTATGATAGTAATAATAGAATATTATAATATTTTTGAATTATATTTTTGATGATATTGTATTATCTTTTTGATGCATAATATTTTTTAATTATAATATGAATATTATATTTTTTATCTAACGTACTTTATGAGGATTATATTATATAACACAATATTAAGTACGTCTTGTGATTATATATCATTTGAAATATGGCTTATTCAACATTATTATCATCACTTTAAAAAATAATAATAAAATTAAATATATTCTCAAGAAACTTCAGCATAAATGCTAACAAAAAGTTTAAGTTGGTTGCCTATATTTGGCGTAACCTAACGATATAAACTAAATTACGGTAACTTTTTTTATAAAATATATTTTTTACATATAATAGAAACTTACTATCTTTATACGTGCTATAAAATTTCTAAGTCATATAAGTTTGCAAAAGAGGTCGACGAAATACTTTAATGAAATGCGCTATGAGCACGTGTGCTTGGTCGTATAGTAATTTCCAGCCACTTCTAGTCTGTCAAAAAGTAACTAACTTCGTAAAAACATAATTACTAAAATCACTAGACAGTTCAAACTGGGATTAGCGAACCGGGTATAGTTGAAATTATGACAGTTAGGTTAGGTTAGGTTAGGTTAATAATAATAATAGGTCAATAATTCTTGAAACAAGTCTTTTATTGTGGTTTATAGGTTTTTCTTCTTCTAGGCAAACACAAATGTTTTTCATTTAGGGTGAATAGATCTGCTTCTTCTCATCTTATTACACTTTCTTTGTTTTATATTGATGTAGCCAATTAAAATATTCAGTAGTTTTTAAACGTTCATTAACAACCACATTCTTATAAGTAAATTGACAAGTATCAAGTGTTTGTCTAATGACATTTGAGAATTATGGAGAGTGACAGTATTGCCAACAATTATCATCATAATCATCGCCCAGCCCTTTGCGTCCACTGCTTAGGCTTAACTCATTTTTGTCCATTGTGCCCTATTTTGAGCACTTTTCTAGTTTCTATATTCTAGTACTGCGGTAAACAGTTTAGGCGATAAGGTATCACCCTGTTGGACTTCTCTGCCGATTGGGATATGATCCGTGTTTTTTATGTAGTTTCAGGATTTTGTCAAATTCTACCGTATCAAAGGCTTATGGAAATCTACAAAAGCCAGAATGAGTGGTCGATTGTATTCGATAGTCTTTTCTACTACCGTTTTTATGCTCTGTAGGTGATCATTTGTTCCAAATCCGGTACGAAATCCCGCTGGCTCTATAGGCTGGTAAAAATCAAGTTTTTTCTTAAGATGATTCGTTACTATTCTTGTAAGATGTTTGTATAGATGACTTAGAAGACTGATAGGTCTGTAGTTTTTTAATTCATTGGATCTCCTTTTTTCTACAATAGAATTACCTCAGCATTGTACCGTTTGTCGGGTGTATCTTTTCTTAGGGCTAGTTTTATTTCATCTATTGTGATTTCCGGTAGTAGTTCTGATCCTTGGTTGAACAATGCACTTTTTTCCTTGTAGATATTTTTGATAGTTGATCTTCTCTGCTATTTGCTGTGTGTGGCTAGTGTACAGCAATTTGTAGAAGTCTTCTATTTTAAGGCTTTCCTCTCTGTTGATTATAAGATGACCATTTCTATCTTTAAGTTATTAGATTATTATGCCACCTATTAAGCCAAGTTTTTATTTCTGGCAACTCTCCCCTTGGTAAAAGATGAATTTTTGAATGGACTAAGTCACGTAAAAGGAATGGGATTATGTGATACAGTGTAAAATAAAATTTACCGAAACAATAAATGAATATATTTCTCAACTGTTACATTTCTTATTTAAGAAATATACAAGTGAACTTATAAATGTCAAAAATAATTTATAATTTTTAAAAATTTGATATTTTTTCAAATAAAAAATATTAAAACAATAACAGGGCTCTAAAGCTAAATATGCTTTATGCATAGTGAAGTCAATAACAAATTAACGAGGACAAAAATATTTATTATAGTTTTTAAGACTCATTATCAGAAATAGTATATAAAGGATCAGAGATTAGAAATGTCTTGACAAACTTTTGGTACCAAGATCAACCAATGGTACTGTGATATCTACTGTATACATTATAGAAATATACACACTATCCATTAACCTCCCACCACGACAAGCTAATCTTATTTTTGCTCTTTCTTCCTACACTGAGAAATCAGATTAATAATGGATCGATAATATTCGAATCACTCTTGGAAGAATGTGAACCATTTCAATCTTAGTTTTTTCAAAGTGTTATGACGTTCTTTCATTTGGTAAAAGTCTATATTTTATACATGAACGATGAAAAACTCATCGTTTTTCCCCCTGGCCCTTCATATTCTTGAAAATTCCTGATTTTTTACATTCTAACTTAACATAACCTAAAAGAATGGTTTTTGCGCATGCTTATAATAGAAATAAACTTATCGCTGAAATATAGTCACGTTCCTCCAGTGCGACAGACAGCAGTTCCTGCATCTCTAATGAGCCACGTTTATCGACCACGTGATTTTATTTAGGTCACGTGATAAAAAAATCCAGCTCATTAGAAAAAAATGCAGCGACTGATTTGCATCAGTTTGGGGAGAACGACACTGTATTGCAATGCTCAATCTATTTGTATTGTATGTTTATGGTTTTTTGATATCTTGTATTTTCTTGACCTCAAAATTCTTTTTATACTATTTCTTTAAGTTTTGCCTTATTTAAACGGAATATTTTTCCAAGCAACATGCCCTACCGATTTTCTTGTTCTTTTTCATCCGCCACTGACTTCGGTGCAAATGATTTAATAAAAATGTATTATAAAATCTATTTTACATAAGTAATATACACGTTTATACAAAAATTAGAAAATATTCTAAACCCGAACTCTACTTAAATATCTAATAGTTTTAGAATAACAATTTATTTTCTATCCTTTTTGGTGAATCGTGTAGAAAATAGAACAAATATAAAGTATAGTAGATAATATTCAGTCCATCTTTAGAAAAATATTACCAAATATCGCAGTTATCGAACCAATAATCACTTCAGAAGTCGATGAAATCGAAAAACGTCCAGAGTGTTTTGAATTTATCATATTGCAAGTAATACATTCAATGAACACCCTTCAATGTTAAATGGTGACAGTAGGAAAATATCGCTATAATTAATAATTTGATAGTCTTCAGATTTTATGGAAAACCTCTCGAACAGGTCCAGTTATTTTTTAAGTTTTCCCCATTCTAACTACATTAATTTGTTTATTTATGGACATATGTCAACTATATGAGTGACGAAGGAGCTTTACATGATATTATTAGATGTCATATGATTCGATTTAAAATCATCTTTGCGCATGTCCGTCATTTTGATTACAGCATGTTGCAGCAGCCTTCAACTTAAATATTTCAATTTTTACGCATGCTTTTAAGTAACTTTCAAACGTCCATGCGAGAGGAAAGGTACTGATACTACAAAATTTGACATAACTGCTAGACCTATAAATAAAAGACTTACCTTCTGCCAATTTGTGGCTTAATGAACATGGTCCAAAGTCCATAATTAAATTATGGGAACCACCAGACATGTTAGACGAAATTACTTTGGTAATTTGGTAATTAAAAGTAAACCAACAAATGCCAACACAATCAAAGTAAGTCAAATCAAAACTAGATGTAACGATTTCTTCGGCAAACAAAGATTCTTAGCCCAGAGTGAAATTCAAAATGTTTATGACACATCAATTGTCAATCAATTATTGACCAGTTAGCCATCATGATTGATAAACTTTTTCTTTCTAATAGACTGAATATTGTATTTTTACAATAGTCCAGGAAAAGAAGGTTTTCACCTCGCAATTTGTTCGGAAAAGCAATATTTATATAACAATAAAAGAAATTGTATATAAAATTGTAGCTTTTTTAATTCCTAAGAATTTGATTTGCGAAAATTTTTTGTACGGCAAAAATTGAGTGAGATACCGACAATTAAAACTTGTACTAACATGTAAAAACTACCTGTACCAATCCTTTCAAAGTCATCTCTTTAGAAATTGAGGGTTTTAAAAGTATTTAATATAAATAGCTTTGAAGCTCTTATAAAAACCTACAAAATGCGTTTTACAGAACGTTTTAAGGTAAAAATAAAAAAAGTTATGGTTAAGAAACAAATAAATTTGTTAGGAAAAAAAGAAGAACTTTAATTGGAAGTATAATAATGTAATTTATCGGTGATTTTTTTATTCTACACGTTAGAAACATATACAAACGCATACATTCATTCATATTCGACTCGTGGAACCATAGAACAGTTTTCACTCTTAAAAAATAAAAAAAATTGCCCAAAAATTTGAGGTTTTGTCCTATTTGAGCTTCGTTTCCTGGAGTATAATAAAACTGCAGCTACATTCATAAATTATCAAAAAATCGTGACTAGGAAAATATTTTCTCATGTTGTTTTACTTTTATCGGTGTTTTTATCTCAAAAAAACATCTACAAAAAATTTTAACAATGTTATTTTGTGCGTTTTATCTGTAAGAGCTAATGTAGCTTCTTCGATTCATCACAAAATGCAAGAATTGTCCTGAAAGTTTCTAGATCTGGTAAATTAGGTATCATTGTTTACTAAAGACCACTATTTGTAACCCATGCCGAAAATTGAGTGTGTTAAATAATGCTTTTAGTGATATTTTTAATTGAAGCTCTATCTTGATAAACATCAAACATAATTCAGGTTTAACTTTCTTCATGTTCATTTGACACTTGGTATAATTTGAGCAATTAAATATTCCTTAGTAACCTAAGAAATCACATAGCTCAAAAAGACAAAAATTAGCGAGATTCTCATGCTTGTACAGAATAATTACGCACAAAATAAATCAAAAATAGTTCTAGCCCATTTGGCTTGACCCAATTAAAAATTTGTGCCTCATTAGCAATTTTTCTATTAATCCAAATATTTTATACAAAAAATAATACTCTTATAACTTTCTTTTCACAGCATAACAAATTATAGTTAATATAGGATGCACAGTGTAATATAAAGAAATATCTGGGCATTGAAAGCACAAAGGTATTATATTCCAGACACATATTTACTTATTAAAAAAACCAATATTGATCAAATAAATGTAAAGGAAACATTTTTTTTGTTATTCTTTATAGTTCTGAACTAATGTACTCATCCCCTCGCCCTTGACTGGAATTATTTATATTACACTCTGCAATTTCCTTTTCTTACAATGAAAATAACAAAAATTAAAATCAAAGTCATTCCGCTTCCGAAGCAGTTGTTTTCATGACATATTTGACTGTAAAAGCAAATGCTGCAAAGCCTATGATGACACATAAATTAGTGATACAAGACTGGAAGCTACTGGGTTGTTCCACTGTCTGTAGATTCTTTTGATTTTCAAAATTGAGGTTTTGATTGGCATTTCTTTCAGCTACTTCAGCCTGAAAATATCATTAAGATGTGGTCAAATAAAAATGAACTTCCATTGAATTATATAGGAAATTTTTCGAGATTTTCAAGTAAAAAATCAATTGTTCAAAAAATTGGAGAAACATCAATAAACTCTACACAGAATTCTATAAAAAAAAATCATAAAAATATTTATGAAAAAATGAAAATAGAGATAAAAAATAAAAATAATCCCATATATAGACGAAAAATAGTCTATTTAGCAGTCTTGGCATGAATTATAATATTTAGTTTTACTTTTTACAATTTTTTATTAGCAACTTATTATTTTTAAATGGGAAACATGTCTTCCTACATAGCCTTTACTATACCTGCAAATTGGACTCTGTTGTCCAATTTAGTATACTGCATGTTTTTAGAATTGATTTATTTGTTCGGACTTGCATATTTTCAAGGTTCTCTAGGTTGCAAAATCTCTCTATATCAAGAAATAACATATGTATGGTTATTAACACAAAACTTGAAATAATCAATCAGGAATCTATATGTTTACCAGATGATAAAGGACAAAGATGCTCTAATTAATATATTAATTAGTACTGTATACTTACTTGCATTTGAGCGACAATATCAGGAAACAAATCACAGAAATACTTGTCTTTCAAATTAAACTCCAAAGATTGATAAGCAAATTGTCTTTTGTCATAATCTGTGGTTTCTATACTTCCTAAAGTAGGACTCTTTTCAAGCTGGAATGACAAGAAAGAAAATATTTGTAAGGGAAAACAATTTTCAAATATTACTCACCATAAAACTTAATAGACCTGTTAAAATGGTAGATACACTCCAGGCTGGATTCCAGGTATCTGGATGGAAGTCTGAAATGCTCAAGCAGAGCTTTTTGTTCGTTTTGAACCTTCCATTAGGGGTAATCATGTATATTGATGGAGGTTTAAAGGGGAATTCTCTAGGAAAAACCAGTTTTCCATGATAATATCCACCTTCATAAGAGGATTTTTCAGGACCACAGACTACATAGTGCCTGAAAAGATAAAAAATATTAGGTAGTGTAAATTTCTATGCTTAACTGAAGTTTTTTAATAGTAATGGCCGGGTCCAGACCAAGCAGACAAAACGAAAACACAATTCTGAAACAAAAACACGATAAACCGACGACAAAAATTTGTCGTCAAAAGACAAAACAAAATTGAGACAAACTGTCCACACCAGAACAACAAAATATAAAAACAAAATTCAGTTGGTGACGTTGTTGTTGTGATTAGTGTTGGTTAACCATGTGGCGTTTTAATCAAGAAAAAAATGAAACTGAAGATTTATTGCTAGCCGCAAGTTGTTTTTTTTTGCTCTCATCATCATCCCAGGTTGCTAAACGAAAACCCAAACGTCGTCTTTCTCTAGCATACTGGTTGTTAACATTCTTTATTTTCTTTTCAACATCATTTAGTGGCACATTTAGCGATAAAGAAATTTCCTTTAATGCATCGGCTTTCTTGAGCGATTTTTATAATCTTTATTTTTAGGGTCCCATAATATCGGATGCTCCCTGTAAAGTTCTATTAACTTGCATGTATTTTGTGTATTCCACTTTTTGTCCCCCGACATGTTTAGAAAAATACACTAGTATTTATTTTAATCACTACACAACAGAAAAATACACTTGATTTTGATAAAAATTGTACATTCTATTTCTCCTACTGCTTAACTTGTTTTGGCACGCACACGCGTCCACACTGCGTCGACAACTTGTCGTCAAAAACACAGACAAAACACAGACCTTTTGATCTTTACCGACCTGAGACGGGACCTGAAAAAGTTTTCAAATCTGCAAACAAAACAAAATTGTTTCAGAAATGTCTCAACAAATGTTTTCGATTTGTCGCCACTTTGTCGCGAAACATGAATGTTTTTGTTTTGTCTGCTTGGTCTGGACCCTGCATAAGAGCTCATTTTAAGGACTCAAGTATTATTAACTAATAATATACAATGGGAATGCAGCAAAGATCTCAAAATATACTTAAAGCGACAAATATGAATACTGGAAACAACCAATGACAGAAAGTTGATAGAGAACAAGAAACAAAGGGGCACATCAAATTGAAGAAATAAATCATAGTAAGTCAATACACTAAACTTGTTGAATCAATGGAGAAATACTTGCAATTCCTAGTATCAAAACCAAGAAGTTTAGATGCCTTTATTGAAATAGAGTTTATGTGGTCATAGAAATTAAGTTTCTCATCGAAAATAACACCCAAATCCCGAATAGAAGAAACATAATTCAGTGGATGATTATCAATAGTATAGCTTGTTCCAATTCTATTGACTTTGGGAGAAAAAGTTCTAAAACAACATTTTTTTTACATTCATGTCAAAGTTTGCTATTTAGTTAACAGGAAGTGATGTTATTAATGAAGATATTAAAAAGATGTGGAGAAGTGTGGCCTCCTTAAGAAACTACAGACATTACTGTGATATTGTCAGACAGATCACAATCTATCTTAACTCTTTGACTTCTCCCAGATGTAGAGTTTTTAATCTATTCAACAAACCTGACATGAATGTAATTAATTAATTTGCCCAAAAGTATTTGGTGATCTACACGATCAAATGCTTTGGAAAAATCTGTGTATATTGCATCTACCTGTTTATGGTCTTCCATATGAGATAATATATCAGATTAATAGCAAACCAAGTTTGTTGCAGTGGATTTTTGCTATGAAAACAATGTTGTGATTGAGATATGAAGCCTTTACATAACCACGAAAGTTGCTTTGCTCTAAGACTGTTGAAGAGCTTAGGATTGCAGGTTGTATACAAATGCTACGATAATTTTCAATATTGTCTTTCTGGCCATTTTTAAATATAGGAACAACATAACTTTCTTTCCATGAAGAAGGAAACATAAAGGTTTCCATAGATCTATTAAACAATATAACAAATGGTATTACAAGGGTACAAACACACTTTTTAATAAAAAATTAGGCACTCCATCTGGATTAGCAGTAAGCTTATAGGACAAATATTTGTACTAAAATTGCTATTTAATGAATGGATAGGTATGTAAAGGTTGTTGTTATTTGGTGAATATACAGTTTGGAAGAAGTTCATAAATAAATTAGCTTTGTCTTGACCATTTGTTGCAGATTGGACTTGATAAAATAAGGAGTTAGGTAGATTACTACTAGATCGCTTATCATTGATGTACTTCCAAAATGATTTTGGATAATTTCTTAGGCCAGTATCTATACCTTTAATATAGTTGCTGAAGCAAATTTCAGACAGTTGTTTACATTCAGCTCTTAGGTGGGAAAATGTAATATTTGCCAAGTTAGAAGTAAAATTACACTAAAAACATTTATCTCACATTTCTCTATAATAATCGCTCTAGAACAGCATATTTTAGGATATTTAGACATTTTTGTTTACATAAGAGTTCTAAATAATTTCACATAAGGTGTATTTAATATGTACATGCAAATATCCTTCACGGTTCAGGCAATTATTCATTATCTAAATAAAAAAAATTATGTATATCTATAAAATACATCAATTACATAACATAAATAGTACAGATAAATAAAAAAATAACAAAATATCAAAAGTAAAAATGCCAGAATAAAGTAATTCAAACAATAACAAAAACAAATGTTTTACACTTTACATAAAAAACATACTTACTGTTTCTTAAAGAGCTTTAATATTTTCTTAAAAAAGAATTAAATGATAATAGACACAAAAACAAATAGTCTGGCAAAATATTAAAGTAAGGAAAGACAAAAGTTGGTGTAATATAAATTCTTTCATTTGTTTCGTTAAGTGCCTACCATAAAGTCAGTATTTTTCAAGTCAGTAATTTCTTCTTCATCATATTATTTTGTTTTCCCATCAAGATTTTCTATAGCTGACAACTTTGGTGTAATTTAAATTGCGTTGAATACTGTTTTCATAAAGTAGAAAAAGAAATTATAAAGGAAATGTATAAAAATCTAATAATCATTAAAGATATCAAAAGTGTCTTACAGACTGGTGACTGATTTAATACAGATTATCTAAATATTAAATATATAAAACCAATGGTACATGAACCCTATAATAACATATTTTCTGTTAATATTTGACCCCAGACTAAAAACAAATGGTATTAAAATGTACATAACTTCCATTTAAAACAGGATTCATGTTTCATGACTGCATTTGCCTCTGTGGCAGCATTGTTTACATAAAAACTTTATTACTATACAATGTAATGATATTATACGTATCAAATAATATTTACCATTCTAATATATTGCTTGGAAGAGGCTCGGCAGTTATGTATGGAACAGGATCTCTCTTTAATCTAAGATAATCTTGTTTTAACCTAGCTGTTGCGCTGTTAGGTTTCCTTGACATATTTAAATCCGTAACTGTATTCCTTAATTTTGGTAATTTAATACAGATTAATTCAATATTCTACGTGTAATTTAATTCGGCGAAGAGAAAGTTTAATTCCAATACATGGTGAGGAATGTGTCTGAAATATTTGTTAACAGTTTCTTTATCAGTTACAAAATTCGCACTATGTCGTAATAATAACTGTTAATAAAGATATTCAAATCTTTAGGACAACTTGTTAATAATTAAATAATATAAATATATTAATTATCAAAAGCATATGACAACACAACTTCACTTTTATTTTACCATTATTGACATGACATGACTTTATGACTTTTGACACTGACAAATCGATGACATCACGAATAAAATTAAGCAATGTTGTCTGTTCGCCTCTTTATTAAAATCACACAATTAAAAAATAAGATGAAAGCTGAAAAATTTAATGATATATTTATAGACTAATTATTAAAAAATATATACTTGTGTTTTTTTATTGAACAGTAGTAATAAATATGTATATAAAGGCAACTAAGTTTCTGTGAATATTCTCGTTTGGCAACATAGTATTCTTGACAAATTTGATATTTAAGAATAGGAAGTTTAAAAATTTAAATAGCAAGAGCATGAACATTTTGCAATTTCTAACTGAAAATGCCTTTCAGAATTTGGTAAAGTATTTTTATTAGATTAAGCAATATATGAATTACTTTTTTGTTTCAGTATGGTGTCGGATTTTTTCTTTCCAAACATGGGCGGAGTGGAAGAGCATATTTACAATCTCTCCCAATGTCTCTTACAAAAAGGTCATAAAGTAATAGTCCTAACACACAGTTATGAGGATCGAGTTGGTGTACGGTACATGACAAGCGGTCTTAAGGTGTATTATTTACCAATTAAAGTATTCTATAACCAATGTGTTCTTCCATCAATGGTTTCCAATGTACCTCTTATAAGACACATTCTTTTAAGGGAGAGAATTGATATAATCCATGGTCATTCTGCGTTTTCCGCCTTAGCGCATGAAGCTTTATTAATAGGGAATTTGATGGGCATGAAGGTAAGAATCATGAACATCTTTATTTATATGTCCATGGTAAGAATAAATTGACTCAAATATACAAACTACAACTTGTTTTTTAGACAGTATTTACAGATCATAGCCTGTTTGGATTTGCAGATGCTAGTGCTGTGATAACTAACAAATTCATTCACATTTCGTTATCAGACTGTAATCATTGCATCTGTGTTTCACACACTGGAAAGGAGAATACAGTATTAAGGGCTAAAATGGAGTCTTGGAGAGTTTCAGTAATTCCCAATGCTGTTGATACCTACTCCTTTACTCCAGATGTGGACCAGAGGTCAAAGAATAAAAGTAAGTTATTTATAATTTAAAGAAATATAATTTCTGAAGCCACATTAAAAAATTTGGCTCTAATAATGATGAATATCTAATATCTGTGTTTCATATCATATCATTGTTTTATAACAACTTAATGTTTTAATATTCAATATTTATCTAACTGATTATTTTATAGTTACAGTTGTTGTAGTGTCCAGGCTAGTTTATAGGAAAGGTGTAGATTTAACAGCCCAAATAATTGGAGATTTGTTGTGACAAACACAAAGAAGTGTGTTTTTTGATAGCTGGGATGGACCTAAGAGAGGGTAAATATGGATATAGTTATTTTAAGGATAGAGTAAAGAATAATCTGAGATATTAAGTAATTTTTTACAGTTCATCAAATGCTTCCTATTTTTTTACAGATCTATAGTATTTCATAGTAATAATAGTAATACTGTTCTTTGTGCTCTTTATATAGGCTACAGCTTTAAAGTCTTTGATTTCTTTGTGCAATCTTTATATAGAGTGGATTCCATGTCCTAATTGGTTTTTCAAGAAAATACCATTTATATTGTTTTAAAACTCATTTCAATTATGATTGTGGTTTATTTGCTTTAAATATAATAAATAATACCTGTTATATTGATTCACTTATATCTATCATACATTTTGATGTTATCTACTGATTGTTTTAGGTTATTAGAAGAAATACGTGAAAGAAGAGGCCTTCAAGATAGAGTGATATTGCTAGGTGGTCTAGAACATTCCCAAGTGCGATCAGTGTTGGTCAAAGGAGATATATTTCTTAACACATCACTTACTGAAGCTTACTGTATGGCTATTGTAGAAGCTGCATCATGTGGGTAAGCAAATAATTATTTTTGTTTCAATAATAACAATTTATATAGATAGAAATAATACACTTTCCAGGAATACACTTCCTAAGAAAATATCAACATGCATGTAAAGCATGTTTGTTTAAGGAGTGCAATTGGAAAAAAAATTAATGTACTAGCTGGAATGCCAAGAGAAATGAAAAATGTTATAAACATGCCTTAAAAACATATTTTATGTTGAGAGAAATATATATTTCACTGAATCTTGAAATAAATTTAGAGTATTCATACTTTTTATTAATAAATTGTATGATTGTATTAATAATTTAATCATTTAAAGTTGATGTTAATAAAGAATTATAATGGATTACCAAAGGACACTGCAGTTCTTGGTTTATAGATTTCAAGAGGAATTTATGTACCAATTTTCAAGACTCATGACTTTTTATTTATAAAAAGATATTAGAAAAATTTCTAAGACTAAAGTCCATTAACCCAAACTTCAATGATTCCTTTACCCCAAAGATCTAACCTTTTTTTTTCACTAACCTAATGTTCTAGGTAGCAATTTGCTGCTCGACAAAGGCTGCTCATTGCTTAGTGAAGGTCTTCTCCAGTGACAAGACCACCTAACCATATCTCAGAGTCAGCTGCCTAGTTCAATGACTGAGTTGTATTTTCCTTGCCCACACATCCACAGAGTTTAGATCATTTCTTAAGAAATATTCTTTCCAATGAAGTTTTTGCATTCAAGACTGTTTATTCTTGGTATTCGTGCTAGAGAATTGAGAAGATGAGATAATTGTAGAATGAAACTTGTACACTGGTCTTTCCAAGAGTAAAAATCATTGTGGATTTCGTGACTGCATAGGATGAACAGCATCAGCTGCAAATGTACCAGTGACGGTTCATTAAAGAAATCTGCTATGTATAACAGAATAAAATTTCAAAATCTGCCTTGGGCACCCAGAATAGAAAAATTAGTTGGAATTACTTTCAATTCTGTTCAACTATCATGTTCAACTTCATTTTTTAACCCATTTGATATTCCATTTTAATTCGTTTCATATAAAACTATGTAATAAATGTTGTCTTGTTTGATTGTGGACTAAATGCGAAGAGATAATTAGCGTTGTAGACACATGAAGCAAATATTTGTGTTACTTTATTTTGTAACTTTTAATATCTATAGATATTTTTTTTTTAGTTTAAAAGTAGTATCAACAAGAGTGGGAGGAATTCCTGAAGTTTTACCAGACAGCTTGATCTACTTGACAAATGCAACTGTTCCATCCTTAATGAAAGGTAAGAAAAGTTCTTATAAGTTGTTTCAGACTGAAGAAATAAAATTAAATGCACTAAACGACAAAAGTAGCCCAATACTTACAGACAAAAGTATTCGATCAATGGATACTCCCTGTCCTAATAGATGGCGCTCAAACCTGGACTTTTACATAGTAAATCATGAAAAAAGTAGCAGAACCAGAAAGATCCACAGAGAAATGAATGCTAAACATCAATCCAATAGACACAGAAATAATTGATTGGATCCGTAACAAAACATGTGAGTGATGTGTCAACATACGGAAGAAAAAGGAGGAGGCCTATCATATCTAAAGATATATGTCCATTATTATTCCCTCAATGATCTTCCTTATTGTTATATATTTTGTTATATTTTTTAGGTATGGAAGATGCTATAAATGATCTAAAAGCCCAAAAAGTGGTGTGTCCATATGAGTGCAATATTACAGTTAGGAAATTCTATAACTGGAAAGATATATCTTCCAGAACTGAAATTGTATACCAAAAAGTGATTAAAGAAGCTAATAAAGACTTGGGTCAGCATCTAAAGAGGTAAGGAAAGGAAATTTATGACAACTTTAATGGTTTTAATAAATATTTAGGCAGAAGTACATACATTTCACCTTTCATGTCAAAAATCATTCATGTAGTCATTCAGTACTGAACAGAAATAACGGCTCTAATTTTGGTAGATATCTTTTTGTATACCTTTTGACAGTGTTTTCTTTTGTATATTTTAGCTATTTGAAGAGTGGAGTTTGGCCATTTGTATTGGTCGTCTCTTTAGTTTATTTAATGTTAAAGTTTTATGAGTATATAGTACCTCGGAGGAATATAGACATAGCTCCAGACTACAACCAAAAGGTAAAAAAGAAATTTCAATAACCAAGTGCGAAGATATAATGCTACACCAAAGTTAAATGTTTTAATGAAACTGTGATATGTTATAAAAATATTTAATATTGTTAGAATTTTGTAATATACTTTTTTTATTCATATATTAATAAAAATAATGTAATGTATTCGTTCCTATCATAAATAAAATCCCCTTTTATCATTCCAATCAATATTTGCTATAACAAAACATTTTTTTTTTAGTTTTTGCCGAAAATATTTTAATTTATGATAATTTAAGGCGGAGTCCCATGCATCCGATTTTCGACGACACGATGATCCGAAAGTATTCTCATTGGTCAGAATCGAATCAGAATATTTTCGTGCCGAATTTCATCCGAAATTTTATTTTATTTAATAATAGTTTAACATCTCTACATTAAATTTATTGAAACATGAATTTTAATCGAAGAAGCTATGTTCGTAAAGTTAATAAAACGCTATTATTATGTCTGCTTCTTTGAATTCGCAAAAAAAAACAAAACATACAATTCGACAAAGAAAATATTGGGTTAGTTAAATATTTCAGTAAAAAAGTCACGTGGGGCTTTTAATAATATATTACACTTTTGCAGGAAATAAAGCTAAGTGATGTTGATAAATATTTGCAATTACCTTAGAATGCGTAATTGCACATTTCATATAAGTTACATAGTTTCTTCTACGTTATCCATAATAAACTGAGTAATTGAAAGTAGAAGGATTATATACCACGCGGAAATAATCCCTTCTGCTGTTTTACTAAGCAAAAGTTGTAAAACAGCAATTACCAGCCAAACCACCAAACATCCAAGCAATAAACAAAAATTGACAGTTAACAGTTTATACGGATTTTCGTATCCGACAATAGCATCCATGTGACTAGCGTATGTACTATGGACTAGCTTCCAAATAGCAACTACGAAACCATACGATTTTCGGATGTCGGAAATCGGATACATGTGACTCCACCTTATGTCGTTGAGTTGCGCCAAATGTAGGCAACTAACAGTTGTTGATTCAGTAAGTTGTTAGATGGTGGGCAAATGCAATATTTAACATTAAGTGTAATGGTTGCAAATGAGTTCAGTTATTGTCTGGGATAAATGTACTATGGCTATTGCTCTTAAATATTCACTCGAAACATTACATAGAAGTATGCAAGATTTAAACGGCAGCGACAAACCTATTCGATAATGCTGTATTACTGCTGTCTGGTGACTTCCAATAGACATTACCAGTTAATTACCAGACTTAATACTTTACATATGTGGGTGAGATTAATGCCTGGTTAACACAATCGTTTTAACGATTAAATATTTTGAAAACATTTGCTAAATATTGGAAACGGTGAAATAAAACTACATCCAAATACACAATTCATCAATTTTCTAGATAATTTCTGCACTTTTATTCAATTCAATAATTATTCAATTTAAATATTGCTGCTCTCAGCTAATATTACTTTGCTTATAACAATGTTAATAACTATTAATTAATTTGTAATGATAGGTAAGTTAGAAACGAAAATGTCCATAGAGAAACTATAGAAAGCAAAAGAGCTGTTGGACAGGGTGCGTGCTGTCCCCATTGTTATTCAATCTGTACATCGAAGCTATTTTTAAGGAAGCAATATCAGAGAGATAGATAAGATCAATATCTCCGCTGTTTTTGCAGACAGTCTAGAAGCACTGCAACACTTAGTACATAGATTACATCAAGTCAGTATAAAATATGGACTACAAATGAACGTTAAGAAAACCAAGTGCATGATTATTTCTAAGGAACATACAGTGGGAAGGCTAGATACCAAGGGAAAACAAGTAGAAAGAGTGAATAACTACAAATATCTGGAAACCTGGGTATATGAAACAATTACCAAGGTAGAGAAATAAGTACAAACACTGAAATTGCAAGAAAGCATTTGTAAAAATGGAAACAATGTTTGTTAATTGAGGCCTTCCTCTAGAGCTATGGATAATGGCCTTAAGTGTTCTCGCCTTTGTTTGATGTAATGGAAAGCTGGACACTAGAAGTGGATAAAATAAATAAGTTGGAATCATTTGAGATGTGGTGCTACAGATTTTGAAAATACCAAGGACCCAACGAGTTACAAATGCAGAAGTGTTAAGAGTGCTACAAAAGGATTGCGAGGTTATAAAGCACATCAAAACATGAAAGCTGGAATATTTAGGCCATATTATCAGAGGTGCGAAATATGAAGCTCATAATGCAAGGTAAAATGAAGGGTAAAAGATCCATAGGAAGACAAAGAATTTCCTGGCTAAGAAACCTAAGAGAGTGATATAGTTGCATCTCAGTAGATCTTTTCAGAGCAGCCGCCAATCAGGTACCGATAGTTGTGATGATAGCCAACCTCCGATAGGTGAAGGAACTACAAGATGAAGAATAGGTACTCAGTGGGAACCAAGCGAGAAGGTAGAATAGGCAGGATGGTTAGGAATATACTCAGAGTCCGAAAGTAGACATCCTATGTATATAAAGAGTACTATTGGATTAATTAATGTTTTCGATATCAATCAAGTGCATTAAAAAAGTATAAAACGATGGATTAATACTTTTTAATATTTTAAAGATCCAGCAAAGATGATTTGTTAAAATAAATTTACGAAATGTATTAATTAAAGTACCTAATACTTTTTTGCGTACTTTTGAACTCTGAGTGTAACGATAATAAAGGAGTGAAGGACTTAATATCTAAAGTGTTATTATTCAATTTAATCATGAATTAAAGCGATTAAATATGTGGAGAAATATCATTAGAGAAAGAAACTTATCATCGGCATTAAATATATGTGTGCTACCACCATTCTGAATACTTTTGTCATGGTGCTTTATGACCTAGTCTGCTCGATATAGCCCCTTGATGGTATTCTGCGCTATAGAAATCAATTGCATCTATATTCTTTAGATATTCCATACATAGATTGTCAACTGTAGCACTGCATTATTCGTTGCATAACTAGTAGGAGGTCTTGTTGATATTTGAATCAAGCACTGGAATAAAAACGTAGTGGGGTTTTTATTAATGGGTTCCTTAGTTTATTTAATGTTAAACCTTCAACGTATCTAGCACCATGGAAAAAGCTGATATCTAAATCAAAAGAGAAGTAATTTTATTAATAATAAAACTTTTATTGCAAACTGTTATTTAATAAAGCACTAAAAATCTTGTGTTTTACTTGTAAAAATGTTCGTTTGTCAGGTTTATAAAGGTAAGTAAAAAATTAACAACTATATTAAACAAAAAACAGATTGATTTTATCTTAGTGTACTATCTGTAACGGGAAATACATTTACCCAAAATTTCGGTTGAAAATGAGTTTTATTTATTGTTTCAATTTCCACTTCGGATATCAAAATTCCAAAGATCTTCTTCTCTTCAATTTTTACCGGGTTCCTCTTGTTCTATTTCCTTGGAGTTTCCATCTCTGGATCACTCATCACTACCATTGAACCAAAGAATATAGACGCGTCTATATTCTTTGATTGAACATTGGCGTAAAATTTTGACACTTACGTAATATTGGTTGCCTAGTTAGAATGTAATGTTACAAGAAAACTATTATAGGTAACGTTCATTTTTTTTAATACAGACAGAGAAATATTCTTAATAATAATCTTCACTATAAGTGTATTTTTAACCTATGTAATTTTTTTATTTTGAAATACACCTTGATTTTGTGAATTTTTTCACTGATTGAAAGTTGAAGACTAGTTTTATACCAAAGCATATTATGTTTATTATTAAATCAGATATTTGAAAATCCATTGCTGTAATAATAATTACAGTATTTTTTTCTATCTCTCTTGGTAATCTACTGGTTCTATATATATAGTCTATTAAAATTAATTTTATTTACAACTACTAATATAATATTTTATTATTTTAGAATTTCGAGTGTTGCCATCTATGTGGTGATAGCGTAAACATTTAGTACAAACTGAATAGATGTCACTACCGGAAACTAGTAATACTGGTTGCGTAATTAGTAGGAGCTGAGAATATAAACAAATATTAATAATGTATCTGCTTGTCAAAAAAATATTGACTGTTACAGTTTTTAGTATAATTTTTTTGCAATTTTATGAGTGGCAAGCAAAAAATGTTTAGGTAAAATTACTGACTTAAATGTAGTTTTGTGTTTTTTTATATAGATTTTTTTAAAGTGATGTAATATAAATTATTATTATATGTAGGTATATTTGAGTTTTATTTATGTGAGTGTGAAGTAGAAAAACGGCATATTAATTATTTCTATTTTACCATCTGATGTATTAAGTCTCTAACAACCTTCAATACAATATCAATGTTTTTGCAAAAATTTTGTTCTCACCATGTCTTTCAGGGGAAATTTAAAGAAAATATAATATTATTTGTTTTGTCATTTCTTTCAAAACATCCCTCGTAAACACACTTATGCGTTACGAAGGCCACTTCTTCTAAAATGTGGGTCTTTTTTATGAAATTCATCTTTAACCTAGCACAGCAGCTTTTAGTAGATATATAATAAGTACACCTATAGGGTAAGTTCGACTTTGACACTACTCTTAACTTCTCCCAAGTCAGTCTCAGATATAGACCAAAACCAAAGACTCAGATTGAGAAATGTCGATACGTTTTTCGGCTAGTGTCGTCATCTAATTGTCGATACGTCTTTTGGTTACCACGAGGTGAGCTATCTGTGTAGTTTTTAATCAACACTTTAGTGAAAGAAAATCTTCACAAAAGACACGATTGCCTATGTAAAATTTATACGCACTAAAAACCATTCTCGCTACGGAGTTTCAGCTCAGACACAAACTCTACTGTGATCCTCTCACACTTTCATCTTTCTCCCATCCTTCTCTCTCGTATAGAGTCTTTATAATTATTCTTGTTGTTAATGCGCGTTTTGGGTAGCCAAAGAAAATGAAAAGACAGTAGAAATTATCTCAACTCACTTCAACGTTCAATTTTGTTGAACGCTTTTATTGAATTGCAAAATGCCTTCAGGCAGAAATACACCATTCAACTCGGTTGAACAATGTGGATGATTCAACCAAAATGAACCATGTATTTACCAAATACACCAGACAACACAATTTTAGAACTATGAAAAATTTCAAGCTCCATCAAATTCATTTTTTCTTTCTCCAACCAATTAACAAGAAATATCCGAAATTATAAAAATGTTAAAACATTCAACTTATTTGGATCCTAATGAGATAAACGCATCTTTTATCAAAAGCTACTTTTTATATCACAAGTCAAAATAAAATAAACGGTTGAATCGAACACAATCAATAAAACTTGTATAGACGCGTCAATGTGGATGAATCATCCCAGTTGTACAACGAAGTTGAACAAAAGTAGAAATTGTTTCGACTCATTTCAACGTTCAATTTGGTTGAACGCTTTTATTGAATTGCAAAATACATGGTTCATTTGGTTGAGTCATCCATAGTTGTCCCGTTTAAAACGTGTTTAAAATAGCTTAATTCTTTAATTCAGTTCAAATCATGTCTTTGTATCAATTTTCTAACATCAACTGCTTATTTTTGTTTTACTTGTAAACTATAGGTATTTTGTTATTATTATACCAGGATAAAACTGGTTCATATCCAACTCTCATATCCACCTCAAAACAAATCCGCCCTGGTCTACTAGGAAATATACAATTTATGTATCGTTAAAATGAGGAATAATCATAAAAAATCTGTTATTTTCAACATACCGATACGGTATCACTAGTACGAATTGTTAACTATGTGACAAGGATTGTTGTTACCTTATTACAATTTCAAATATATGTCATGTTTATTACATGTTAGTTAGTAAAAATTTTGCGTCCTTGACATAAACTTAGTTAGGAATTAGTGAAATTGACCCATTCTGGCAAATACTCATTTTCTATATTTCATACACTGACATATTTCATTACTGAAACAACCAAGTCCATTTTAAAAATATTTATTTAAAGAGTTAAGTAACGATTTAAAATGCTTTGGTTGTTGATAGATTCTTACATTAGGTGTAATCTATTAACTTCAAACTTCACTTTTAGTGAAAATGTTCAGATAAGCTATCAAAAGTATCAAAACGTTTTTTTTTTCATCTCCTGTAAACTTTCTATATGTGACTTCCGTTGTTTCTGAAATACCTATGTGATTTAATTATACGGTTTCGTTTATATCAATCTTTATACATCTCCCGGAAATAATAGAGAAGCATGTCCCATGTAATTTCACAAATCCTTCTAATATCCTATATTTCAATTCAATATGTTTCTTTTTAATAAACATTAATAGATATTGGAATTCTTACAAAGATCGCAAACTTTTATTAAATTTGAATCTGTTTTATTGCCCATTATAATAAATACATTCCACTATAAATTTTTTATTGAGTTGTTGGCTTGATTCATTCTTTAATTGAATAAAAAAATCTGCAACAATAGACCTTAATAATGTGGTTTACCTATTAAGTTAGAGATCTACTGCGTCGCAAGGTAAAAAATCACGCAATATCAAACGCACGAACCCGAATGGTTTAAAGAACTCTCGCGTTTTCCACCCCACCACCGGGATTGTTGTGTTTTGAGCGTGAGTTTGAAGTATAGAAATTGTTGCTTGTAGTTCTTTTATATTCAGTTTTTTTAAACAACTTTTGATCCTTTACATATTGATAAGCTACTAAATATTTATTAAATAAGGTTTTTACGCGTCGATATGATTTTTTAACCAGTTCATCAAGCAACCCGCGAGAATAGATCGATTGTCGTGGTGAAAGTTAGGTTAAGTACTCCAAATAGAAATATTTCAACAAAATTGGCAACTTTTTCGGTAAGTCCTCCATGCATTTTAATATTAAGTTGAAATTATGTAATGTTTAATTCATTAAAACTCCCTTCTTTAGTGGATATTACCTAAGAACCACTCTCTTAATCTCGAAAATTTGTAAACATTGCTCTACTGTTAGTATTTCATAAATGACTAGTGTTATGAACATTTAAATGTGTCTGTATACTCCAGCCAAAAGCACAATATTAATTATGACGACCCATTTTTTGGATATAGCGTTAAGAAAGTAGCAGTTAAATACATAAACTTTATATAGTTCTTCCAGCACAACAAACTCTGTAACTTATTTAATTTACATTTGTTGATAGATATTTGTTATAGTTTTTATTTAACATTAATTAAGTTTGGGGACTGTTTGCCCAATATTTTTCCAAGCATGTCTGGTCATAGATGCTGAGTAAGTAAATTAATTTCTCCAATTTAAGTCTACTAAATAAGTCTACTATAATGTCTAAGGTTTCATCATTTATGCATTTTAAGATTTCTGTAGGGATTTGGTCTGGACCTATTGTTTAACCATTTTTGCTGTTTTTTAATGCCGTTTTAATTTCCTCTTTTAATAATTTTAAAACCATACCCTCTTCTACTTCTATCTCCATCTGCTCTGTTCGATTGTCTTTGATCAGTTCATTGATGTATTCTGTCCATCTCTTTAATTTGTCATTAGTATTCAACAGACATTTCCCATTTGCATCTTTCAGTATTCCCGGTTTTCTTGTTCTATTGTGAGTTAATTCTTTAATTTTTTTTGTGTGTTAAAACTATCATGTCTTTTCTGGTATTCTTCTATTTCTGCGCATTGTTCTTTTAACCATTGTTCTTTCGCTTTCTTAATTCTGTATTTGGAATATACCTTATCTTATTATATTTTGAACAATTACCAGATCTATGAGCAGTAAAAATTAGATACCAAATAAAATGCTTTTATGTGCAATTGCGGTAATGCTGATAAAGGTATATTCTCTGATATTTAGGTAATTTCAGTAAACCTATCTGTTCTTGCAATATATGATGGTTATTGATGACATTTTTGTATCTAATAATAATGAATATTGAAGAATATACATATCAATTATACTAACAATGTTACATCAATTACATTGTTAAGAAGTTACTACATAATTTTACAAATTGTTCAGAATGATATAAACAAAATGACCATTTTGAAATGAGTGAAGCATAAATGAGATTATGTCCACATGCAACAATCTTGTTTGCCATTTCCTTTCCTTCTTATTAAATAATAGAAGTATAGGATATAAATTATGCAATCAAGTAGGTAAATAAAGAATACTACCCCCAGAATAAATTTAGTTGATGGAAATCTTTACACTTCACAAAAACAGACCAAAAAAATTTAGGAAGTTTTTAGTTCTTTAAATCCCTCAAATGTTAACTAGAATGCTATATCTTGGTATTGTGAATACCATAGTCACTTCAATACACTTTGATCTTTGACATCCAAAAGCTAACCATAAGTAATGTGAACAAGATCACATTAAAGAACAAAACAAAATTGAAGAGTTGAAAAAGCTTTATAACAAACATTTTGTACATGCAAATAATGAAGTACTCGATCTGCTCAAGAGGTGAAGTTATTATGTAAAATCCTTGCCTTGGTAGGTAGCATATTATTTAATTCTTAAAATGTCTAAAGAAATTTAAAACTAGCTTTTAACAATACATTCACTTTCATTGCCTTGCATCATAAACAATGCCATATTATTTAGAATAGAATTGAGAATAGTATTAGTATCTTAAACCGTTGATTGTTTGTTAATTATTGTTTAAATTAAGATACAGAGTGTACCAAGCTCAAAGTAAGAATATGTAAACTTGAAGTAGAAAGTGATGATATTTTCAATTCAGAAACTATTATGTACTCTACAAAATTTTGAATATCTGGATTATACCGAAATTTTAAACATGGCCTTCTTTAACTTATTTATCAGATCTAATAATATTCTTCCCGATTCGAGCATTGAAGTCATATCATTATTAGTAAGGGGCTATCACTTTTCGAAATATATTTTTCCATTACATTTATTGTGTCTATTCAAAATAATACTTGTGAGAAGGTTAATCTCTTTGTCAATATTAATATGAGGATTCTGGTTATGTAAATCAAAATTCATTCACAAATCTTTTCTCTAGCTGAGAGTATTAAAAGAAATTGTTTAAATAATTTTAATAAACGAAGTAAAAACTGGTTTTTAGTTGGGATCAATAGCCTACACATTTCTATCGTTATTAAAATATTTTTAGATGTTTTACATCAGACCAGGGTGGATCTTTGAAAAAATGACAAAATTTGGATGTGAGAGGGGTACTCCGAGTTTTGCAGAAATAGTTAGGAGATATCTTCAGTAATAATTATATAATTGACTCATTTTTGCTCCCAAATAGGTCGGGAACATTAATGCAAAATCAAAATATTTAAAAATTACTAAAAACATCGATTTTTTCTACTTTACTTGCTTATAACTTTAAAACAATTCATTTTGGAGCAAAGTTGTAATGAAACAAAATAGTGACTCTCAGCCTAATCAGCCTCTTCTCGTCTTGGATATACATAATAATTTTTTTCGACTTATTTTAATAATTACTTTGTATATACAATTTGTATATACAATTTTTTTCCTTTGAGTTTGTATATACAATTCAGCAGACCAATGGGCCATAAATTTTCCATTTAATGTTGCTCTTCCCAGTTTAAAAGCTTGACTAATAAATTCCTCCTTCTGGCGCTCTATTACATTTTACTCAAAGCTTATTTGAAATTTTCTACGAAGATATCTGATCACTAGTTCACTGTGATATACTCTATGTGTATGTCTATAAATACTCTGAAAGTATTTACATAGATCAGTGTCTTGCTTACTTGAATATAGTTCACTGCGGACCTCCTCAACAATATGTATTTATTTCTTCTGTATTTAGTGTTAGATCTCCTTTTTCCATTCTAAGTTTTTTTATTTCTCATATCTCGTTTCCTATGTTTCATCCTATCAGTTTTATATCCTATAATCCGTTCACAAATTGTTGATAGCACGAAATGTGCCTCAAAGTCATAAAACGATTGTAAAATTTGTATCATCATAGGCGTTCCTGAGGTGTTTATTCATTAAAATTAATCCGTTTTACATTTATTTTCTTTTCTAAAATGTTTATTAATATTAATAATGTTTTAATACTAATATATTTAGCAAAAAACAATTAAAAATTTCACGGTTATTGTTGGTTATTATATTAATAAAATAAGAATTTAACCATTAACGATTTGTAAATAAGAATACCTTATTTTTTTGGGTATTTCAATACTAATCTTCGCGTTTAATCACTTTACTAGAAAACCTGGAATTCATATCCGAAGGTACTATTCGTTGCAAGATAATTAGGATGGAATTCCCCAGATTTTTAATAATATAATGGGTACAAAGATGCCGGATTTGGCCACGTGCCTCGTCTGTTTAGTTTATATTCAAAACTTTCAGATCTGCGGCCTGGAGGAGAGAATATAATCCTGATATCTGTTTTGTTACCATTGACAACAAAGGCCAACCGCTAGCAGCATCACGAAGGGTTATGCCTGACTTTCCACATAGTCAACATCGCCCCGTCCTAATCAAGATCGGTATCAGCATTCCGATTATAAGATCGTTCCCACGCCCCAGATGGAACTTCAAGAAAGCTAACTGGACTGCTTTCACCAGTAACCTTGACAAATGCCTAGGATGGATTCCACCAAAGAGCCAGAACTACGGGAGACTAACAGGAGCAATAATCACCTCAGCAAAGCGACAATCCCTAGAGGATATCGCAAAGAATATATCCCTGGTTGGAGAGAACAGAGCGAAAAACTGTATGAAGAATATTGCGAAGATGGAAAGCAGGAGATTGCAGACGAACTACTCCACAGCATTGATGCTGCCAGGCGTGAAAAAATGGACACAGACAGTAGAAAACCTAGACTTCAGAAGTCAAGTCGACAAGCTTGGTCCCTACTGCGAAACTCGAAAGTAGCAACCCACCCGTTCGCCAAACCAACCTAGTACGCAGTATCCTACCTAGTACCTCCAGATCAAATAGCTACGCACATAGTGTCAACCTCTAGGGCACCTCAAAATCGTTTATATACAATTAAACTTAAGAAAGACCTCAAAACCATAAAATCTAGTCTTGATTCTAGAATTATTTTCTGACATCCTTCAAACGGGAAACGTCACCCACCAACTCAAAAATGCAAAAATCGTTCGCCATTGTAAAACCAGGAAAAGTAATAATTCACCGAAAACTACCGCCCCATCGCACTCTTAAGTATGGTGTACAAATTGTTCGAAAAGACTGTTGTATAATAGAATCAACAAAACCATATTCCAACACTTACCAGTGGAAACAGGCAAGATTTCGGCCAAACCGCAGTGCACAGACCAGGTACTCGCCCTGACCAATTATGTGGAATCAAACTTTCAAAAGCAATCAAAACAACCGCTGTCTTCATCGATCTATCTGCTGCTTATGACACTGTGTGGCGACAAGGGCAATATATAAATTAATGCGAATAATCACACGCAGAAAGACCACTGAGGTTATTAACGCCATGCTATCCAACAGATGCTTTAAAGTTATATTGGGAGACAAGACTAGTACCCAAAGAAAACTGAATAATGGACTTCCACAAGGATCCGTGCTGGCTCCCATGCTTTTCAGCCTCTACATAGCAGAAATGCCAGAAACCACATCAAAAAGTTTGGATACGCAGACGACTGAACGCTTGCCGCAAGCCATAAAGAATTCGAGGTCACTGAACGCATTCTAACAAACGATTTAAATGCCCTAGGGAATTATTTCCGCAAATGGAGATTGCAACCCAATCCAACTAAGACAGAAGTGTCCTGCTTCTATTTGTACAACAAGATGGCCAACTATCAACCTCAAATCAATTTTGGGGTATAGACTCTTTAAATATAATAAACACCCAAAATACTTAGGTGTTACACTTGACAGAACGCTGAACTTTAAAGAGCATCTTACTAAGACTGCTGCAAAAACTCCGAACTCGTAACAACATCCTGCGAAAGCTCTGCGGCACTACATGGGGCTCCTCAGCACCCACACTTAGATCGACAGCATTAGGACTGGTATACCCCGTAGCGGAATACTGTGCACCAGTATAGATAAACAGTCCACATACTCACCGTATTGATGTCCAACTCAACCAAGCCATGCGAACTATATTGGGCACAATCAAGGCCACGCCCACTTACTGGTTACCAGCTTTGAGTCATATAGCTCCACCACCATCCGCGGGAACATGCCCTTGTCAGAGAATTTACAAAAATTAATACTGATCTGAGCTCCGCTTCCATGTCGGAACTTCCGCAGAGAGTAGTAGACAGAGCAAAAAGACTAGTAGATCAAAAACTTTAATGTAACTGAACGGTGGAAGAGAACAATGGGAGAATAACGCTGCACCAGCTAACTGGAACATGCCATGTATTACAAGAAAACCTGAGGGCTTCAACCAACCGAGACGAATTTGTACCACACTCAATAGAATAAGGAAAAACTGGGGCAGATGTTCCGACTCACTTTTTAGATGGGGAAAAATACAATCACCAAATTGCGACTGCGGCGCCGAAAGGCAAACAGTAAAACACATGGTAGAGGAATGCCCGATTAGATCCTATAACGACAACCCTTCGGATTTCCTGGCTGCTACAAAAGAGTCAATCGAATATATTTATAATCTAGATGTTTGTTTGTAGAATTAATATTTTTTGTATTTACTGTTGTTTGTAATTTATATAATTTATATTATATGTATATACATGAACCTGTGATGTAGCCATACGCTAAATAAATAAATATTCAAAACTTAACTTGAAAGGTGAAGTTATTACGAACGAAAACAATTTTCTTGTTTAGTACGTTTTTGATCGCATGTAATTTACTACTCGTCGGTGTTTCCGCGATTATTTTTCAGTTTTTTACCTACCCTAGAGACGGGGTTATTTTTTTTAAACACCCTGTATATATTTTTCTTCAGTTCATAAGTCTCGCTTGGATATAAGGAAGGCTTTTAATATTTCCTTGCATTACCTGGTCATCGACATTATCTTCGCCTCTTAGAGTTCTTTAGCTTTTCATTAGATTTTTTATCCCCTGGCTATATTTTTTGATTTTTTTTATATAGGCACAGGTAACCTTAGCTTTCTTTAATAATTTGATTATTACAGTGTAGAGAGTCAATTTAAAGATTTCTGGAGTGGAATTTGGATTTTTTTGAAACGTTTTTTTATTAATCAACTCTAATACTGTTACTGGATTTACCCACGTTATAGTTTATTTATTTTGTTATGTTTTATTTTTTGCCGCATATTTAACATTTACATTCTTGAATTGTACACAAAAATCTACTTGGGAAACAATCTAACATTAAATAAACAAGTGTATGTCAACTTAATATTTTATTTACACTATCTTTAGCCGTACATAACATATTACTTTTTAGTCTGGTAACAAAACAGAAGCTGGGAAAGAGCCCAAAACGTCGTTTAACTTTTCCTTTGTCATCTGTACGGACTGAACACTAATCATATTACTAGCCATACTTAAAATCATCGAGGGGTTGCTGTTGAAAAAATTTTCCGCCACATTCACTAAAAAAAAACGTAAACATTAAATTTATGAACAGATTTATTAAATCAATAACAATCAATACATATATAAAGATTTTTGCGATTAGTACAATCAAACCTAAAGCTACGATTAATACTATTACAAGAATTAAACTCAACAGTCGACATTCTCTATTATGTCTTTTTCAGTGCTTTCGATGACTCAGTCTTCCGAGCCTATCACTATGCATGATTAGAAAATTATTTAAATAATTCTTCTTCTTCGCGTGCCATATGTAGGCGATGTAGCGAATGTAGTCGACAAAATGCAACCCTGTCTGACTTCTCGTTGTATGGAGATTTCATCGGAGTAGTTATTTCTATTAATAACAGAAAAAAGTGAAGAATTACAAAGAATCGACAAAAATTTGACTCAAGATGAATTACAGTATAACAAAAACCATGACTAATCAACCAGAGGAACTAATAATTACAGTCTCACAAACAAGAATAGAACAAGTAAAAGAGTATATATATCTAGGCCAAATCACTAAATTCTTTTCTTCTTCTTCTTTTTTATAAGCAAAATGCTTGTTCAATGTCGATTAATGCCTCTATTGGAGGTTATCACTCCATCTTTTGCGTGGTCGCCCGATACTTCTTCTACCTTTTGGTGATTTGTCCCTCGCTATTCTGACTATCGGGTCTCTTCCATTCTGTTTATGTGTTCGTTCCATTCCTTTTTCTGTTCAGTGTCCACTCATTTAGTTTCTGGTATATTGCATTTTCTTCTGATCTCTTCACTCCTCATTCGATCCCTCAGTGTGTTTCCTGTAATTCTCCTCAGTAAAACGCATCTTCCGCTGTTTCTAGTAGTTGCTGAGTTTGGAGGTATCCGGTCTTGTCTCTGAAGTGTATGTCATTATTGGTCTTATTGTTGCTTTGTAGATTCTTGATTTCACGTCGGTATTAATGTGGGGATTGCGCCATATCGTGTTATTAAGACAACCTGCTATTTTATTAGCCTTTTGTACTTGATTTTTCACTTCCTTCTCCACATCTCCGTAGCTAGACAGTGTAATTCCTAGGTAATTTGTCTCCATTACTTGCTCAATGCTGATACCGTCGGATTTCCAGTTTACATCTAATTGGTTCTTTACTGATTACAATTGTTTTAGTTTTTGTGTAGAGATTCACCATATTAAAGTCCTTTGCCCTTGTGTTGAATCTATGGGTTAGTCTTTGTAGATCGTCTTCATTGGATGCAATTAGGGCCGCATCATCTGCATAGCAGAGTAATTCTGATTTCTTTGTTCCCCATTTTGTATCCTCTTCCTTTATTAATAGTATTGATGATTTCATCCATGATTAGATTGAATAGCGTTGGACTAAGCGAGTCTCCTTGTCTTATTCCATTGCCATATCTATTGGATCTGTAAGCTGGTCATCTATTCTGACTTCCATATTGTTGTTCTGGTAAATGTTCTCATTGTTTTTATAACATTTAGTGGAATTTCTCTATCTAAGGGTGAATTAACTTAGTTTTTATATGAATACTGCATCTGTAACATAACGGCATCTGTCATTCCTTGTGCGAAAACCCTGGCTGTTTCATCCCGCTACGGTAATTCTCTGATTTATTGGCCTTGCAATATTTTGGTTGTAAGCTTCAAAGTGGTGTTTAATAAGTTGATACCTCTGCAGTTTTCAGGTTGTTTCTTATCTCCTTTTTTGTATAGTAGGATAGCTCGCTTTTCTTCCACTCAGGTATTTTATTATGTTTGATGATTTTGTTAATTAGTGCTGTTAGCTGTTCTGTTAATGCTTCTCCACCATATTTCAATAATTCATTTGGAATTCCATCTTTACCTGCAGCTTTTGTGTTCTTCAGTTTTTCTAAAGTTTGTTTTACTTCTTGTACGGTTATCTCGACTTCCTCGTTTGTAAATGATTTCTGGTGTTTCTGGTTCTAACATCATTTGCTGTTCCTCATTATAAAGCTTCTTTAGGTATTCAATCCATGTGTCGTTATCTATGTGTTTCGGTTCGATTAAGTCTTTCATCTTGATCTTTGGCCTCTTATGAAACGCCATATTTCCTTTTGTAGACCGTAAAAGTCGTGTTCCATTTCTTTTGAGAAGCGTTCCCAGTGTTTCGTTTTTAATTTTTCTTACTAGTGCTATTCTTTCGTTTCTTATCTTTTTGTAATTGTTGTATTCTTGTGGTGTTTTGTTAGACATGTATCTTAAGTAAGCTTTCTTTTTTCTTTGCATTTTCTTTCACTTCTGCGCAGAAACACGGAGTTTTCCGCTTTTGGAAATATTTATTTTTAAGAATTTTCCTTTCTCCTACAGCTTCTTTTGCTGAATCTAGGATGCTTGCTTTAATTTTCGCCCAGCTTTCTTCGATTCCATCACTTTCTACGATGTGCACGTTGTCGAGTTTATCTTTGACTCTCTTTTGGTATAGAAGTTTTGTTGATTCGTTCTGCAGATAGAGAGGCATGGAAGAAGGAGGAGGAGGCCTATATCCAAGGATGGATGTTTAGGGCTGTATAGATAGAGTTATCTCTAATTTTTACGATAACAGTTTGACTCCAGTACAAATTTTTATTGACACGAATATCCTTGTCATCTATTCCGATATTTGTCAGTATTTGCATTAATTTTACATGCTGTACTTTATCGAATGCCTTTTCGAAGTCCACGAAACATGCAAATACATCTTTTCTTTGATCATGGCATTTTTGTAATAGGATGTTAAGCGCAAAAAGTGCCTCCCCAAATTGATTATCTTCGAGATCTTCTTCGCACATTTGCCTCTAATTCTGTTGTGAAGTATTCTTAGGAAAATTTTTATGAGTGTGACTCGTTAGCTAATTAATCGAATAATCTCAGCATTTTCTCGCATTGTGTTTTTTAGGTATTGCGACAAAGATAGATTTGAGCCAATCTGTGGGAATCACTCCTTGTTTATATATTGAATTAAAAAAGTCTTACTAGTAATTTTTATGTTATCATCCTCTATTAGTTTGAGCAACTCAGTTGGTGTATCATCTGGACCACAAGCTTTTATAATTTTAGCATGTTCTACCTCGCATTTCATAATATCTGGGCCATCAGTACAGTTTTGGTAGAATTCGGCAATATTATTCCTGTCATCTTTAAACAACTCTGATATATAGCTGCCATTCTTTTCGTAAATCGAGTTCTCATTTACAATAATTTTGCTTATTATTGTCAACGAGTACAGAGAGAACTCGTTTTTTAAATATGTTACTCATTTCTTTTAGTTTTTTTGTGCACATTAAACAAGTCGTGTTTAGATATTACATCCTCCATTTCGTCGCACCTTTCGCTCATCCATTTTTCTTTGGCTAATTTGATCTCTTTTTTTATTCTTCTCAGCAGGTGTCTATATTCTGTTTCATTAGATTTTATCAGTCGGCGTTGTTCCATTAATTTCAAGATGTCGTCTGTCATCCATTTATGTCTTCTTGATTAAGTTTTTTTATAATCATTGTTTGCTTAGATTTCGTTAACTTGGTTTTTAAATTCACTTCAATCATTAAACAAAAGTTTTAAAGACAAAAATTAAAATTTTTAAAATTTTAAAGAGCTTAAATGTGTGATTTTATAAAAAAATATTAACAATTCAGATAAAATTTCCATAACTCACATATACAGAAAGTTCACAGTTTTATTGTAAAATAATAAATAATATTCTTACACATGTGCTGGAAACTTTTATCCTTTGATTCCAATTTGATGTGACCGTTGCCTATTTTGATATTTTGAGTCAGCTTATTTATTTTAAAATACTCCATACCGTCTTCCTTCTTAAACGTAGTAAGACTTATTTTCATGGACATTTTTATATCACCTGAAAATTTTGAAAAATATACATTAATATATAAAATATCATTATTTTATATTATCAATATTAATCATTGGAGACATGAACGCCCAGATAGGAAAAGAGATATGCTACCAAGATTATATTGGTAAACATAGCCTTCACGACGTTACTAATGACAATGGTTTAAGGCTTATTAGTCTGGCAGCTTCCAAAGATTTAATTGTGGCAAGTACATGTTTTAATCACAAGAATATCCATAAAGCCACTTGGATATCACCAAATGGACACACCACAAATCAAATCGACCATGTTATAATTGACAGAAGGCACTTTACAAACCTAATGGACGTAAGAAGTTACAGAGGAGCAAATATTGACTCAGATCATTTTATGGTAGGGGCCAAGTTACGACAAAGAATTTCCAATGCCAAGAAAGAAAGGGGCACTAAACAAGTAAAATATAATTTACATATGCTAAAAAATGAAAACAAGGAGAAACAGTTCCAGTCACATATAAAAGAAACCCTAGAACACACCTGGGCAGTCGACCAGTCAAGCACGGAAATGTGGAACAACTGCAAGGAGGCTCTGAAATTAGCAGCCGAAAGCACATTGGGAATATCCCGAACCCAAGAAAGAAACGACTGGTTCGACCAAGACTGCAAAAAAAATAACAGAAGAACGAGGCATTTAGGAACATGCAACAACGAAAAACTAGAACAACAATAGATAGATACAAAAACTTAAGGAGAGAGGAAAAACGCATACACCGAAAAAAGAAACGAGACTCGGAAAATGACATGTTAGAACGGCTCGAAAGCCATATGAGTCACGGAGAAACAAGAAAGTTCTACCATCAAATAAATAGTATTAGAAAAGAATTCAAACCAAGAATCAACTATTGTAATGATAAGGAAGGCAACTTACTTACCAACAAAGAGGACATCCTTTTACGATGGGTAGAGCTCTTTCGAGAGTTGCTGGAGGGGGAACCTACTAACAATATAGAGCTGGAATACCGAAATGAGGAACTCGTGGAACCCCCCTCGATAGATGAAGTAAAAATATCTAATAGAAAAACTAAGGAACCATAGGTCCCCAGGTAGCGATGGCATCCCAGCAGATTTATTTAAGCACGGTGGAGAGCAGCTCACCAAGGTGATGCGAGAAATTGTTTGTAGAATTTGGTCTGAGGAGCAAATGCCAGAAGAATGGAGCTTAGGCTTAATTTGCCCGTTACACAAAAAGGGAAACCAACTGGAGTGCAATAATTACCGCGGAATAACTCTCCTAAATACAGCACGAGATCATTTCAAATATTTTGCACGAGAGATTTAAAGCCTTATACTGAAATGTTTCTAGGGGAATATCAGGCAGGATTCAGGCCTGGACGTTCAACCATTAACCAGATCTTTATACTACGACAGATCCTCGAAAAAGCGCAAGAGTTTAGATATGTATCATATTTTTGTCGATTTTAAAGCGGCATATGACAGTGTCTTAGGACCAAGTCTTTACAACGCTATGAATGAGTTAGGAATTCCAAAAAACTCATATGTTTGATAAAAGTGACAATGGCGAAGATGCTATCAGCAGTAAAAATTCAAAACGACTCGTCAACCCCATTTCAAATACATAGGGGGTTAAGGCAGAGAGATGCGCTGGCGTGTCAGCTTTTTAATGTCGCCTTAGAAAAAGTTGTACGAGACGCTAATTTAGATAGCAGGGGAACAATATTTAATAGATCAGTCCAAATTCTAGCATATGCAGACGACGTGGACATTATAACAAGAACTAGGGCGAGAACTGCGGAAATCCTAACCGAGCTAGTAGCAGCAGCAGAACGAATCGGGTTACATATAAATCAAAATAAAACCAAATTCATGGCGACTAACACAAACACAAGAGCTGGAAATGTTGACACAAATTTAATCATCAATGACCAAACTTTCGGAGCAGTCAATGAGTTCATATATCTAGGGACATCGGTTAACCCCAATAATAATACATCTGAGGAAATAAAAAGGCGAATAATAATTGCAAACAGGTGTTATTATGGTCTATCAAAGTACCTAGCTAACAAACGTCTGTCTCAAAAAACTCGTATAAGGCTGTATAGAACACTGATAGTCCCCGTTCTCACATACGGATCAGAGGCATGGACGCTAACGAAAACAGATGAATCCGCTCTATCCATTTTTGAAAGAAAGGTGCTACGCAAGATATTTGGAGCGGTCTGTGAGAACGGAATATGGAGGCGTAGATATAACTTCGAACTGCAGAATATCTACAAGCATACGTTTGGTGGTAAAGATATTACCACTATAATTAAGCGAAACCGCCTGCAGTGGGCAGGACATGTAGCCCGGGCCCCTGAATCGAACATGATAAAAAAGATTCTAACAGCGCAAACCTGTGGGAATGAGACGACGGGGTAGACCAAAGCTGAGGTGGATGGATGGGGTAACACAAGATGCGGAGAAGATCGGAGTCGGCAACTGGAAAATTCAAGCAAGGGACAGAACAGAATGGCGTAGAAAGCTTGAGAAGGTCGAGGCCCTCTAAGGGCTGTAGCACCAAGATGATGATGATGATGATGATATAAAATATATATGCCTATAAATACATTATACGTATATATACGTATACAACATGGCGATCTCAACAAAGAAAGCTAAAGCGATAGTGATATCAGCGGAATCGAGACGATGTAAACTAGTCGTAAATAACAAAATAATAGAACAAGCGATGGAAACTGAATACTTAGGAATAATACTGTCAAGTTACGGAAAAGTGGAATAAGAAGTACAAAAACAAGTGAACATGGCAAACAGAGCAGCAGGATGTCTCAACAATACAATCTGGAGAAAACAAATACCTCACAACGGAAACGAAAACCAGGATATATAAATCAACAATAAGACCGATAATGACGTACACAGCGGAAATAAGAGCAGATACGGCGAAAACACAAAGATTGCTGGAAACAACAGAAATGAAAGTCTTACGAAAAATAATAAACCAAACTCTAAGAGACAGAGTAAGAAGTGAGGAAATACGAGCGAGATGTGGTACAGAGGAAATAAACGTGTGGATCAAAATTGTGTGGACGTTATCTTTTTGGTGTCGTTTGATTTTAACTAATATTTAAGTTTGTATAAACTCTTGTTTAGATATAATTGTATGTTTGGCTATGTATATTTATGTTTGATTTCACTTCTTTTTAAAATAAAGTTTTATATACTTAGTCCTCTGGCTTTCATTTTTTTTTACTTTAATATACATACCCAATGCGAAAGAGAGAAACCAGTGAGTTCTAGATTGAACATACACATCTTCTCTTCCCTTTCTGATGACCCCAACTGTTATATTGAGGTCTTTGTATGTGCAGAACGCAACAGAGTGCAGCTTTCGTCTGCAATGTTTGCATTTTGCCTTAAATAAAGGCGATTTTTATAAAGATGTTAAATAAATACACGTTTTATTTATAGATAAAAAGTAAAGGAAATCGGGAAGTCTATTTTGATCGGTTCTGCAGTAATTGTTTTTGTACGTTGAGAGATGTTTTAGTTGCATGTCTTTCATCGCACCGTGTAGGATTCTATCTCTTCCCGGGGTGTGGATAATCTTGAGCCCCAGCTCTTGTGTTTTCAATAAGTAGTCGCCATCCACTAAGAACCTGGGTCCTAATGATCTAAAAAGTAACAACACTAAGAATTCTAAGATTTCCTACATGGCGAAACTAAATTCAAATCTTGACCACTGTGCTTTCTAAAACTTGCAAAGCAGACAGATTGGTGAATTAGTCGGCAAGGGAATCTATGTATTGCATTCCACATCCCGTTCATCACGGTAAAAATTCTTAGTGAATTTAGTTTCTGGTACTTCGAAACAGAGTAAATAACTAAAACAGAAAGATGTTATAAGATTTAATTTCGATTGCACGGCATCTGCAAGCCGCTTATGCGTATTTCAACCTCTTTAGGCCTCATCAGAACGACATATGCAGTTGCTCTGAATCGAAACAAAATCTCTCCTGTCATAGGACAATAATTAGGCATATGTCGTTCTGATGAGACCTAAAGAGGTTGAAATATGCATAAGCGGCTTGCAGATGCCCTGCAATCGAAATTAAATCAAATACCGTCTTTCTGATCTAAAAAGTGTTTCAAATCCATTATTGTTAGGTAATAATAAACTGCTGAAGTGCATAGTGGGCCAAAATTGTCTTCTATGCAAATTGAAGGTACTTGTAAGAAGTCTTCTTTGATTTTCGGTAGTTTGTGATGTCTTATTGATTACTCCTAATTATTATTGCTGCTCAGCCTCTGGGGTTTCTTTCTGCATCAGGATGTGCTGCGATGTAGACCTTATGCGAAGTGATTTTAAATTGATCACTGCCAAATAAGTGCCTCTCAGGTACTAATAGAATGTCTACTTTATTAGTGGCTAAGAATATTTCGATTTCTTTTCTACGTTGTATGCTCAAAAGGCCATACCGAGACATATTCCCCGATTCATGCAAAGAATGATCGCTTTATGTTGGATTTTTGGAACATTTATTTTTATTTGATCCGTCTCCTACCATCTTTAACGTTTATTTCCGTTTAAATCTTCATGTAGCAATCATCTCTCTTCTTCTACTAGCTGTATTGGCAATATCGGCAGTAAGGCAGCCGTGGACCTTGTTCTGTAGGTATTATGATGACCTGGCACACATACCATTGTGTCAGCCATACCAGTTTGAAATTGCCCGATGCTGGTGTTAGATGTGACGTTACTACATACCTTAAATTTTTTTTTTGAAACATACAACGATGCTAATCGAAAGAGAAGCCTTCACACCACACGCTACACAAACCTTTTAGATTGAGAATGCCTAAATATTTCTATAATGTCTTGAATCACCAGTCTAGATTTTTTATAGATAAAGCTACACCTCATATTTGTCGTACAATTAACACGGTGAATAATGTATGTATGTACTTGAAAATCATGATTTAGTTAAAACCGTGGGTCAATACTTACTAAAATTTCCTATGAAATGTCCTTCGTTGTTTATTACCAAGTGCATTATTCTACCATCAATATTGTAATCGGTTTCAATATGAATCGATGGTATAGTTAGTTTAATTGCTCCATATAGATTTACCGGGTCCACCCTAAAAAGATAATTCTAAGAATTAGTCGAAAAAATTCTAAGAACGATATTGCTGTATAAATACAGAAGGATGAAAAGATAGATCTTTTCATCCTTCTACACCTTCCTTCTTTTATCTGTTCAAGATCTACATTTCGATGTACAAGACTGAAAAGAAAAGGCATTTGATAGAAGTAAATGCAAGGAAGTGGGGAAGGAAGATCTGTAGAACGAAATTAAATATATAATCTATTTACAAGGAAATGTAATTTAATGTTAAGCAATGTAAATAAATAAATAAAAAATAAATAATTGTTAAAATACAAAAATATAAAACTTACTTCATTTGATCAAATACCACGCCTTTGAATCCTTCAAGTTTCAAGTCAGTAAACTTGCCCGAAATTTCACCGAAACCAGCAATATTCTGCTGTATAGCTAGTTCTGGAAGTTTCAGAGGATCCAGGGCTGGAATTCCCAAATCAGGAACACCGTTCATGACAACAGGCAGGAATGTGGTTAATGTTTTCGTGAAGCATTTTTCAAAATCAGGATTCGATTTTCTGCAGGTTAGCTTACGTACAAGATTCGCTAAAATTAGTTAAAATTTGTATACATACTAGTTTTGTACTTGCATGTTGGTAAAGTGAATATTATAGAACCATCAGTTTGTTAAACGACTTATTGAAAAATTTTTTGAAGGTAATACATGGTCGTATCTACAATAAATGAGAGGAATACCTGGATGACACTCAGTTTGGTTTCCGTAACGGGTTTGGAACGAGAGAGGCACTGTTTGGAATGAACGTACTTGCTCAAAGATATATTTTTAGACATATACTGTTGTTTTATTGACTTCCAAAAGGTATTTGATCGTGTTAAGCACTCTATATTGATCGAAGCTCTAAAAGACATTGGCTTGGACGGCAGAGATGTTCGAATAATTGCAAATTTATATTGGAATTTAACAATATCAGTTTTAGTGGATGGTGTGGAATCACAGGCTCTCAATATTAAAAGAGGAGTACGGCAGGGATGTCTCTTGTCACCCCTGCTTTTTAACGTTTACTCAAAAAGAATTTTCAGAAAAGCACTTTCTGAAAAACAAGAAGGAATACTTGTGAACGGCGAAGTCATCAATAATTTGCGATATGCGGACGATACAGTACTCCTAGCTTCTAGTCAAGAAGATTTGCAAACACTACTTGATAGTGTCGTAAAACCAAAATATTCGTAATAAGTAAACAACAGTATATAAAACCGTCTATATATGTAAATAATACCTTAACTTGAGCAAGTTGATAAAATCGTTTACCTTGCACAGCAATTACCTAAATTGTGACGCAGAAAGTCACGACGAAATTAGATCTAGGATAGAGAAGGCTAGAGCTGCTTTTAGAAGGATGTCCGAGGTGTTATGTAACAGAGACCTAAAATTGGCATTGAGGATCCGCGAACTTCGCTGCTACGTGTTCTCGGTCTTACTTTATAGTGTCGAGTCCTGGACAGTGAATAAAATCGATCCAAATCGCCTTGAGGCTTTCGAAATGTGGTACTATAGAAGTTTCATGGGTGGAGAAGATTCGAAACTACAATACTAGAACGTCTCAGCAAGAGTACTGAGATCATAAAAACATCAAGCAGAGAAAGCTGGAGTATTTCGGACATGTAATGAGAGGTCCTCAAAAAAAGGCTGCTACAAAATATTATGCAAGGAAAAATAGCAGGCAAACGCAGTCCAGGACGAAAAGAAGAACTCATGGTTGAAGAACGTGCGAGATTGGTATGGTGTTGATACAAACATGCTATTTATAGTCAATAAAATTAAGATGGTAACCAACTTCTGAAAAAACATGGTACATGAAGAATATATACAACTGGGGTTACATACTTTAAGACATGGAGAGGCGGCTTCAGATTGGTGTCAGCAAAATGGAGCGCTTCCTCATAACTTTGGGCCTGTTGCGCACCATCTTTATGACATGTTTGATGATAGATGGATTGCAAATCAAGGTCCGTTTTCGATATGGCTCTTTTATATTTTGGCATTTGGGTTTACATTCAAAAGCAGGTATGTAACAAACAAGGTACAACAAAAGAAGATAAGATGCGAAGAGTCTTATTTGCTTTTAGTTCTCTAACATCTTACCATATTTCCAGAATTGCAAGAGATAACCTAATAAAAGCATTCATAAATGTTTCGAAGCCAATTCTTTTAATTAAAGCATATGCTGAGCTCATAAAACTATTTAACACCGACGGTATTCAACACCTAACAAAAGTATTTAATGACATATATTTAAGCGGAGTAATACCAAGAACATGGTTGAATTCGACCTTTATTGCTTTATCAAAGAAAACAAAATCCGTATCCTGCAGTGATTTCCGAACCATCAGCTTAATGAGTCATATTCTAAAATTATTTCTAAAAATCATACATCAAAGGATATATAGACTGTGCGAAGAAAAAATCAGCCGTACACAGTTTGGTTTTCGGAATGCAGTTGGTACAAGAGAGGCTCTCTTTAGTATACAAGTGCTATTTCAACGGTGAACTGCGACATTTATGCGTGCTTCATTGACTACCATAAAGCGTTCGATACAGTAAAGCACGACAAGCTGATGGAGATATTAACCAATATTGGAATAAACACCTGTGATTTCAGAATTGTCAGCAATCTGTACTGGAATCTTACATCATCTATCCGAACAGAGGCAGGAGAATCCGACGATATCAAAATCAAACGTGGCGTCCATCAGGGATGTATACTATCACCACTGCTGTTTAACATATACTCTGAGGAAATCTTTCAAGAAGCAGTGGGTGATGTTGAAGCCGGAATTCGAATCAACGGAGAATCTATCAATAACATTAGATACGTGGACGACACGGTAGTATTCGCTCTGATAGTTTGACAGATACTGAAACCCTCCAGGAGTTAATGAACAGAATCACAGAGGTCAGTCAGAGATACGGACTTTCACTAAACACTAAGACAACAAAATGCCTGATGATCTCTAAGAAGGAACAGCAATTTGGACAAATCAGTGTAAACGGTCAACAAATACAAAGAGTAAAAACATACACCTACCTTGGTACGAACGTCAATGAAAATTGGGACCATTTCATAGAAATCAAATGTAGAATAGAGAAAGCAAGATATGCATTTCAAGAAATGGCTAAGTCATTCAAATGTCATGATTTATCAATGCCCATAAAAATCAGATTACTACGATGTTACATTTTTCCTATACTGTTGTACGGAGTTGAGTCATGGACTCTCATAGACGCCACCTGAAAGAAAATTGAGGCTTTTGAAATGTGGCTTTATCGTCGCATCCTGAAGATATCGTATACCGACCACATTACTAATGAGGGTGGTCTGATGAGAATGAAAAAAGAAAAAGAGCTATTAACCACAATAAAAACATCCAAAATCGGTCACATCATGAGGAACAGCGAAAGATATGGACTGCTTCAACTAATCTTCCAGGGAAAAGTAAAAGGAAAACGGCGACTAGAAAGGCGAAGGATTTCCTGGCTGAAAAATCTACGAACGTGGTTAAACACAACAACCACAAATCTTTTTAGAGCAGCAGTGTGCAAAGTGCAGATTGCCATGGTGGTCGCCAACATCCGAAACGGATAGGTACTACAAAAATAAGAAGAAAGCTTGTGGCGCTATTCCCTGTAGGGACTCATTTTTGTTGTGGAAGATTTAAAAAAAAGTTTTAAATAGGTTGTAATGAAATTTGATGGACTGTTTTATTATGTAATAAATTTTTCTAGACGGATTATGAAAGTATTAAGTACAATATAAGTGGTTGAAAAACATCAAATATAAAATGGTTTGTTTCCCCCTCTTTTATTGTATGTATTACTATTTTACAGCAAGGGTAATAAATTCATACATTTATTACCACCCGTATTTGTATAGAAAATTCAATTGTCGCTATTTCATTTCACTATAACTTGCTCCAAAATGAATTGGTTTAAAGTTATACGCAAGGGAAGTGGAAAAAATCGAAGTTTTTAGTAATTCCTCAATATTTTAAATTTCTTTTTGGTAAAGTACCCGACGTATTTGAGAGGGAGGATAAGCCATCCAAAAATCTGAAATCCACCTCTCACATCCAAATTTGGTCTATTTTTAACAGGTACGCCCTTATCTTATAAGAGTACATATGTTCCTAAAAATGGAACTGGACCGAACATGTGGCTAGGAGGCAAGAAAACTGGAGCGAAAATGTGATTAGATGGAGACCATAGAGAGAAATAGGAAGCGTAGGAAGTTCGCCACAAAGATGGTACTAAAATACGAAAAGGGACTAAATTGGTGCCGGCTAGCCCGTAATAGAGAAAACTGAAGAACAATGAGAGAGGGGTAGATAAAAAGGATAGAGAAATTCTGAAAGAAGAGAAAGATGAGGATCATTCATCATTTAATTATTTTTCTTATCATAAAATTGTTAGTGTTGAAATAAAAATACTTTGATTTGATAAATAAAGCGTAAATGTAAAAACTCACGATTAATAGCTCCTTGGGAAAGCTCCCATACAACAACCAACACAAGTAGATACTTCATTTTGGACTCTTAAACCTTAAACGGACAACTGTGGTACATCTATTAGAAAAATAGTTTATATATTGCTTTATTTCGTTGCTTGTCAAGGTAAAAATAATTACTTTAATTTTTCTTGTTTTTGCAATTATGAATGTAATGTTCAAAAAGTGATTCGTAATCAAATCATGATACCTTATAGTCAAATTTTAATTCGCTTAGGTGTTTATATAATTGTTTTTTTTACTCAAAGATATTTATCTTGTTTTTTACCCGTCGAAGGCGAATTTCAATTTTTGCAGATTGAATACTTAAAAATAATTTAAAACACGTAATTGTTTAATTTGAACTATGTCTGGAACTAGTAGATAGTCATGTACCAAAGTATCAGGAAAAACCAAGACGGAAAAGCAATAAAAAATATTTTCCTTAAAGATACCGGAAATAACAAAATGTTTATAAAATTGAGAGATATCTTTATTTACTTGAATCCTACTTGTAAAGAATACTTTAATCAATTATGGTTTAGATGCTTTAAGCTCAAAAATAACGAATTATTGTTATTTTTTTCATTTGAAATATGGAGCAAAGTCACAAGTCACAAAGCCTATAGCCAAAGATTACTTTGCTCCACATCATAAAATAACGTCTAATCGCTAGTTTTTACATCACTGATGCAATGTTATGCACACATTTTGTTTAATGTGCCCCATCTCACAAAATAAATTAAAAAAACACGGCAAAAATATATTTTTTTTTGGAATTTATTGCAGAAAAATAAAACGTGTTTTGGATTATATTAATAAATTAGAAAAAAATATGATAAGGTACCTCACAAAATGTAACTAGATGTACCTTTCAAAAACTTAAGAACTAGGAATGCAAATATTCAAAGAAAAACAGATTTTTAAAACTTAGGGTTTTAGAAACAAATACCTAATATGTGTATTGAATATAGCTTAGTACCAAAATGTGCAACTGCATATTTAGTCACTGTACGAACAAGCCAGCTCAGGCACAGAAAAGATACCCATTTTTGTTACTTGTTTGGGAGGTTTAATAGATCCAAGAACATCGGACCAAGAGTATGTAAGTTGATCTTTCTTTGGAGGCCATTGCCACATTTTTAGCATTTATTGCATTGCATTAATTGTAACTTCATCAATGTTAAAGGAAACAATTTGTCCAGGATAGACCTGTCCTTCGAAAGAAAAGACCACAAAACATTCAACTTCTCTTACTACCTTATCAAAATGAAAATCATTTGTTTGATAGTATTTATCTTCTACAAAATTTATGAATTCTCTTTCTTTCTCTTGTGCTTTTTTCAATTTCATCGAAGTTAAGATGAATCATAATTTAAAATAAGTGTGTCCTTTCCCCTAAAAGTAGAAGATTCTGGCAGCTGCTCGTCATTTGCTGTAGTGGAGGTCATAGGCTCCTCAATTGATTCATCAATCCACACAGTTTTTCCAGGAGGAATCTTGATTTTCTTTCTGCGATTCTTTGTAGTGTTGCCAAAGATCTTCGTGTTTTCAAGTATTTGAAGAAATACGGATTCTACAGTATCTGTGTTGTTTGAACTTCGAGGTATACGGGATATAAAATTATCTTTGATGGTTGGTGCAATAATTTCCATCAATTTTACTAACAGTGGTGGGAAGTTCTGTTTCTGAATATTTGTATTTTTAATGCCTTCTTCAGTATTTTTCCAGTCCGGTAGCACTTTTTTCCAGACTATTTTAACTGGGCGAAAAAATGCCACGTCCAGAGTCTGAGTTAAGTGTGTGCTATTGGGGGTAAACAAATTAGGCTTACTTGGTTTTCTCGACATAATTTGAGCGAATGAACTGTCAAATGAGAAGAAAGGTTGTCGCATCTTAGGATTTTCTTTTCTTCTAATTTTCTTAGCCTAGGTATCATTTGAAGCTCCAGCCAATCAGTAAATATATTGCTATCAAACCACCCAGAAGAACTAGCGTTATATCGACATCCTTTTGGCCCATTTTCTGTCCACGTGGTCCACATCTTGCTGAGTCGATATCGATATTCTCCAGCCGCATTTCCTGCAAACATGACGGAAATTGATGTCTTCAGTGCATTTCAAATTAATTCAGGATACTTGCAACCTTTTTTCACAAGTACTCTCTTTTTTCCTGGATCATTTGTAAGGTTTGTTTCGTCAAAATTCCATACGTTCCTTGAAGGCACCTCTAATATTTCGGTCGTTAAATTTTCAAAGTAGCTCTTTATCATTGTCTCATTTACTGCGGCTCTCGTAAGCTTGACATTCTCAGCGAAGCGTCGGGATATACCTGGATGTCTGTTAATAAACGATTTGGCCCATTCTAGACCAGGCAAATTATTCTGGAACATCCTAACTTCCCTACCACATCTGTCCAAATAATCTTCAATAATGTGACGCAATTTTGTTGTATCTACAGGAAAGCCAAACTGTCCCAATGCAATAATACACTGAACAACATTTTCTTCTTGTAAAGAAAATATGCGCTGTTTTCCAGGTTTCCTTAGGTATATCTTCCTTTAAGTTTATTTAAAATTGTTCTTCTTGATATGTTGTACTTTTTCTCTGCTTCTAGGTGTGAAATTTCTCCTGCTTTTATTGCATTTAAACACTCCTGCAATGTCTCTGCAGTGTAGTCTAAATATCTTCTTGATCCAGGCCTTCTAATATAGTTTCTGGGCATGTCTGAAGATTCATCATCATCATCTTTGGCTCTACTACTGGGTGGGTCTTAGCCTGTTCAAGAATTAGTCTCCATTCCTCCTATCTTTCGCCCTGGCTTTCCAATTTCTGATCCCTAGATTCCTCAAGTTATAAAATTACTTTCTTATAATATATTGATTTTGGTCATGAATATTTTTATTTTAAAACATCAGTACAAATAAAAATTTACTCAAAAGCTGATAAATAATTAACAAAGAAAATTCCCATATATTTTGGGGTTACTTTACCTCGGAGCAAAGTAGATCCAAAAACGTGTTTCGGGGTTACTTTTCTAATCTTCCTCTTTTTTGCCCAATTTAGCATTAAAATCTCCTAATAGTATTTCGTAATTTGCTTTATTTGTTTCTATAGCTGTTCTTATTTCATCATAAATATTTCTACTTCTTCATCGTCGTGGCTTTTGGTCGGAGCGTACACTTGGATCACTTTCAGAGTGGTTCTTTTACTAATACTGATGATGAGATATGCTACTCTGTCTGATATGGGCTTGAATTCTTCGATACACTGTGTGAGGCTTTGAGGTTTTGAGGTAAACAGCAATAATAATACAATTAATTCACTACCAACTTAGCAATACTGAAACTGACGTCAGTTTCAGCTTACAAGCGAAGCAGTAACATCTCCAGAAGATGACAACCCCTGGTGAAACGTCGAGAACTAATCTCAGAAGACAACGGCCTAACAGCCCGAACAAACAAGTTAGACGATGGCCGTGAAAGCCTAACGCATTTTATCAATATTTGTATTTGCTATGTAGTTAAATAAATACTCTACTCTACTCCTTTTAATATTTCTTTAATTATTTAAAATATCCAGCACTATAAATCCTTAATAATCTGGTTTCACCTCAATGTGGTTAAAATTTGTGTTACAATTTCTAGTTTAACAACTAACACTTCGTACTGTGTTAATTATCGTTACTCGTGTATTATTTCAAACGTTTTTGAACCTTGCTTTTAGATAATTAGTATATTCACTAAATTTCTATTAAAATACACGGCAAAATTTAATTCACGAAGCGTGAACTTTTGCAGATTCTCTTTACGACTTCTTCGAACGGGCAATAATCCGTTGATGGCGTAGATATCTTTGATTGGTTGATTTAAACATGCCATGTGATGAATAAGCGCTGTTGCCACATATTAGGAAAAGTCTAGAACTAAATGGAGCTATGTCAAACATCAAATTTTAGATAGTTAACGTAATTGTTGCAATAAGTTGTTTTTTAAGACACCGTGTTGAATGGTACGTAAAATTTGCCATTATAAATCAAATGACGATCTATGACGATCTACCGAATTTATTATTTTCTACAGTTCTTGTGCGTTGCTTGTTATTAGGCAGTTCTTGCTTGTTATTGCTATCAGCGTACTTGATCTTGTTTATGATAGTTCCGTTGATCTAGGTTCCACCTTGGACCCCATATGATTCGTATATCTTCGGATGTTGTGTGCTCTATTAGACTTTCAATCATCGTATGATTGTTAACGCAGTCAAATTCTTTTCAAAAATCTATAAAGCATGAATATACTGTTATGATTTTTTATTTTGACTTTGATTTTAATTTATTGAGCCAATCAAAATAATGTAACTTAATTGTTATCAAATGTAAAATAAAACTCCTTATATTACCTGTGTTCGATGGATTCAAGGATTTTCTAGTTGTCCTTTATCGGGATAGAGAAAAAGGATAATAATAAAAGAAACTATTATGTTACAAAAAATTACGTATTCTTTATTTTATATGAACAAATAAAACAATTATCAAATTCTGCCGTTATCTTATCAATCAGCATACAAGAAAATAAATGAAAATTTTATAATAATAAGATTTTAAATCTACATAAATTTATATTCAGTGAAAACCAATTTTACTTAAATTTTCTTTTACTTGAAAAAAAAAACAACAAAACTTTAAACTTTTGATTAGTCTAACAACCCTCAGTTCATAAATTTGAATGCTAATGACCATGATGTCAACACAGATCCTTCACAGATATTAATTTCAATTGTACAAAACACTTACAGCTTATTTTCTTATTGAATTGTATGTTGGAACATGCCCAGAAAAGTCCAGTCCTCTCAACGATGTGATCTCTCCTTTTTGGCACCTCGACTCCTTCCTAACGTCTCTGCAAACCTCCTGCACTAACCAAAAACACCTGATTCACTTCTCCAAAAAACTCAGCTACTTATTAATGACACAAGGACTTCCTTTTGTCAACTGGATGCCGTAAAACTACTTTCACATATCTTCACAAAATGCCCACGGTAGATACAAGGACCTCTTTTAATCTACTTGTCAAGTTCTCCTATCTCCTTCTGCAAAAATATTCAATACTTTTCACAATGCCGGTATCCAACTCACGAACCACACCCTATCTTGAGACAAACGACTGTTTCCTTCGATGACCAAATTATAACTAACTTCTCCGGTCCTCCTAATCGGCTCGCCAATTCCCATTCAAAAAACGACCGTCCAATCAAAAGCTCAAATTGTGTTTACCATGATTTTGGAAAAGCCTAATTTCTGTTTCAGAGAAAAACTAAATAGCTTACTTTAAAATTGGTTTTGTCAATACACAATTTATACATATTTCAAAAGATTAGAATATGGTCATTTAATACTCGATTATACAAACAATGAAAAGAATAACTTACAGGTAAAATGTCTTCTAATTCTAAACAAAGGGGTTTTTTGATAATTTTGTTGGAAACGGAAAAGGTCGTTTGCCAAAGAAATTTCTATTCTTATCTACACTAAATCTTATCTTAATTACTATATACAATTTGTTTATACTGATATCTTAAAATTTTATTCCGATGGATCTTTTTATTTATTTTCTTTGGTTGGGAAAGAAGAAGTATGACAATACATATATGTTCATGTCCCCGCATCGTTGTGTTAACAAATTTAAGACAAAAATTTCTTCTTCTTTTTGTGGTGCCTATCCGTTACGAATGTTGGCTACTAGCATGGCAATTCTAACTTTATTGACCGCAGCTCTAAATAGTCCTGTAGTGGCCAAGGAAAGTCATTTTCGTAAGTTCTGGAGCCAAGATATTCTTGTTCTCCTGGTTCCCTCTTTCCGTAGACCTTTCACTGTAATATAAGTTGCAGCAGGTTATATCTATGATGGTTTCGCATTATATGTCCAAGATATTCTAGCTTGCGCTGTTAAAGCGCTGCAAAAATTAGATGCTCAATATTCACCATGCAGCAGTGCTCTTAGATTCGAAGTATGTAATCTCATATAGATGATAAAACATCGTCCCTGAACGTTGGAGAATGACCTTAAAAGGTGATTTAATGAAACGGTACGATTTCAATCAAACAAATAAAACTAAAAAAACATTTTTTTATGAAATTAATGTTTAAGTGAAGAAATATTCAGTTTTTGAAGATAATATTGAAAAGGTGGCCTCTATCTTGTAGGACACATTTTTGCAGCCGTTATACAAAGCTGTTTACGACATTGAATAACATTTCTTGAGGCATTGCTTTCACTTCTTCGTGTATTCGTTCTTTCAAAGCCTAGATAGTTCTTGGGGGCTTACTTTGAAACATTTTAGACTTTAGATACCCCCCTAAGAAAGTTGTCGTATAGGAAGAGGTCCGGACTACGAGATGGCCAGAAAATATCGCCGTTTTTACTCATAAGCCGACTGGGGAATGATCTTCTTAGTAAATCCATTGGCATTTCTGATGTGTGACATGTTGCACCATCCTGTTGAAATGTATTGTGTTCATGTCTGTAATTCTGGATTGACGGAAGAAAAAAATGATTTAACATGTGCAAAAGTAGCGAGAACAGAGTTTACTGTTAGTGCATGCCTGTCTTCGTCATAAAAAATTTAATAAGGTCCGATAATCCATTACAAAGAAATTTCACACCACACGGTTACATTTTCTGAACTCCCAAAAAAACTGCTGTTTATTCATGAGTCAATTGTCTTTTAGGTAGTAAGGAACAAATAAAAAAACTATGTATATATAGTATACTATGTATATATAGTACAATATATAATATATATTGTAGTTCAATTGTGTATTTCAAATTGGTTCCTTTAAAAATCGTTCTAACTTCTTCTGCGCCTCCTTGTCTCGAATCTCTTGTTGTTTTTTAGCCAAAACCACCGGATTACGGTTAGCGTTTTCGTTAGAATCACTAGATCGGTCTTTTGTAGATGATCTACTGCCACAACTCTTCGACGAGAATCTTCTGTTATAAGAGTCCAGTGTGTAGAGCTCTTTATTGATGAGCATGTCGACTCTGTTCTTACTGTTAGTTTTAAGCGGATCATCTTCTATATTGGGTACCACGCTAGACTTCTTCACCCTTTAAAAGAAAAATATATGATTAATCAATCATTTACATTAATTTATTTATGGTGGTTACTTGATGGATATCCAACAAGGAAAGATGTATTGCGTAGATGGGTTGAATACTTTAACCAGGCATTTAATATAGAGGAGGAAGAAGAAAATCTGGAAGACGAAATAGATGATAAAGGAAACAGACGAGAGGGAAGAGGAACCACCAACGATTTTTTAAGTTAAAGATGCTGTTAAAAAACTAGCCAGAAACAAATCACCCGGAATAGATAATCCCCCACCTGAACTATATAAAGAAGGTGACCATGATACCATTATGACATTACAGCAGATTATAAAAGAAATATGGACACAGAAACCCCTTCCCAATGACTGGAATACTTTGCACTTGTTAGAAGATGACTTCCTGATGTTTAGTTGTTGTTAGTTGTTGGTTCAAATCAACTACGATTTATCGATCATATTCTCATATTTTCAGACCCATAGAGCTGACTTCCTACTACAACTACTTACTTTGGAGTTTTTGGTGCAGGTAAAGGCTCCTTCCATTTCTCCATACAAGCCTTACATGTTGTCAGTTTGATATTATACTTTCCATACCCTTTGCCAGATGATTTAGTTAATTTATTTTCAGTTTCTGGAAAATCGTCGTTAAGATATCTCTGGAACAAATTCTTGCTTTGCAAATGGTTACTACCTTTTGAGCCCTAAAAATAAAAATAGAAAAAAATAAGACTGCAGAGAGTAATCGATTATTCATTAGCTTACTCGTGGAGAATTTGATACTTTTTGGGCCATATCTTTCATTAATGTATTGTTTTCTGTCGGCTTTGGTATATTTTCCTCAATTATGGGTGTACTCCTTCTGTTTCTTGACGGAGGTGGGGACTTTGTACTGGGAGTACTAGATTTTCTAGACCCACGTCGAGAGCAGTTATTATCTGGTTCTTCAAGATCGTACTCAATTTTCTGTGTTTTACTAGCTCGCTAAGAAGTAATAAAAAATGACTGGTTACGATAAAAAATTAAGTTTTTTAAATATTCTTAGAATGAGAGTGAATAGAGTGGCATATTTTAATAAATGCCAATTTTAACATGGTTCTGAAGCTATTGTCTTGTGCCATTGTAGTTTTTTATCAATTATATAATTCTATATTTTAAATTTTATTCGAAACTGATTCGATTCGAGGAAACTGCGGACGAGGAGTTTGCCTGTGGCGGTACATCTGTCAAAGATTAACGCAACTGTTGTAAGGCCAGCTCAGCTAGGACAAAAACCACGCGTAGAGCATTAGAGCAAAAACTGGCTTGATGCTGATGTTCAGTATGCATAGGGACTGCGAGAGTACGGCCTATCGATCCTTTTGGCTTCAAGAGTTTTCAGCAAGAGGTGTCAGAAAAGTTATCAAAGGGATAACTAGCCTGTGGAGGCCAAGCTTTCATATCGACCTCGTTTTTTGATCCTTCGATGTCGGCTCTTCCTATCATTGCGAAGCAGAATTCACCAAGCGTTGGATTGTTCACCCATATACAGAGAACGTGAGCTGGGTTTACACCGTCGTGAGACAGGTTAATTTTACCCTACTGATGACTCGTCGTTGCGATCATAATCCTGCTTAGTATGAGAGGAACCGTAGATTCGGACATTTGGTTGACGCGCTTACTCGAGCGGCTAATTGTGCGAAGCTACGATCCGTGGGATTATACCTGAACGCATTTAAGGCCATATCCTTTCTAGTCAAAGGTGGCAACGATATCTCTTGGAGTTCCGAGAGCTGAAAGGCTCAAAACAATGTGACCCTATTGGGCAATCGTAACTAGCTAGATTATCGGTTTACGGTGGGATCGATCCTTGCCAGTAGACCAGATCTTTAGACGGACGAACATGGGTATTATAATCTTTTTGATGTTGGAACTCGGAATATTGGCAAAGAGATACGAATATTGTAAAATATATTATTCGTTTTTGGGAACGCACTTGTAGCCATTTCGATTCAAGAGGTCGAGATTCGATAATGATGGAAAGAAAAGATATCATATTCGTAGAGACACAAGTACATCAGACAAATAAAAATATTGAGGAAGAACGATAATGTAAACCTTGTTTGTACCGATGAGTCGTGGACTAACGTGGGTGCTTTAGGCAAAAAGGAATAGAGGGACACAAGTATCAAGAATCTACGAGATTCCTTCATAAAAGGGCTTACAGTTACTCAGTTTTTACGCCGTTATTTGACTTCTGCCTGAGAATCTCAAGTCTAACATGTTTAGGTTTTTTTTTGTGTCTAACATAGTAGTAATTACTAAATGAAATGCATTCGTTTTGTTACTTACCCTGATGTTTCTATCGATAAAGTTAATAACGTCTGTACCTCTCTGGGATCTTTTTCTTTCTGAAGATAAGTCGTTTCCTTTATGGTTGTGATTGGTGGATAAAGGATTTCTTGGGTACCTATTTTAAATAATTGGTTTTATCAATATTAAATGGTATCAATTTATAGGAACAGAAAAAATGGAATAAAAATTTAGAATATTCGGATTAATCATCATCATTCAGCCTATACTCGTCCACTGCTGAACATAGGCCTCCCGTAGTTCGCCCCACAAATTTCTGTCCTGAGCCGCCTGCATCCAATTTTGATGTGTCCGTTTCAGGTCATCCGTCCATCTTGTTGGTGTCGTCCTCTATTCCTAAAGGCATCTTGTCTGGGTCTCCACTCAAGAATGCGTTTTGTCCATCTGCCGTCCTTCGTTCTCGCGACGTGCCCTGCCCAGTTTCATTTTAAGGTTGATATTCTTTTGATTGCGTCGGTTACTCCGATCTACGGCGCAATTCTGTGTTGGGTATTCGGTCTCTCAGGTTAATCCCAACATGGACCGTTCCATTGCCCTCTGTGTTGTTAGAATTTTGTTTGCGGACGTCTTAGTAAGTGTTAGCGTCTCCGCACCATAGGTTAGAACCGGCAGCACGCATTGATCGAAGACTTTTCTCTTCAAGCAGATGGAAGAGCTGATTGGAAAACATCTCTTAGCTTTCCATAAGCTGCCCATGTCAACCCTATTCTACGTATTAGTTCATTGGTCTGGTTATCTCTACTTAAGCGAATTTCGTGTCCCAGATATTTGTATGCTGATGTTTGTTCTATACTTGTTCCAGCTATGTTGATGTTCTCACTCAGAACAAGGTTTGTCATCACTTGTGTTTTTGAGTTATTGATCTTTAAACCCACTTGTGTAGAGGCATGGTAGAGTCTTTCGCACATTTCGATGGCATGATCTATGCGGTCTGTTATCAGGACTATATCGTCCGCGAACCTGAGGTGACTAAGCTGCTCTCCATTTATGTTTATGCCCTTTTCGTCTAGGTTTGCACGCTTACACATGTATTCCAATAATGTTGTAAACAGTTTTGGTGAAATGGTGTCGCCCTGGCGAACTCCACGATGAATGTTGAACTTGTGTGTATCTTTATGGAGTCTGACGCATGCCGTGGCATTATCATAGATATTTTTGATGGCAGTGGTGTAGCGGTGATCTATTCGGCACTCTTTTAAAGCTTCTAGCATTTTCTGGTGGTTTACTATGTCGAATGCTTTGTCATAATCCACAAATATTAGGACGAGGGGTTTATTCGGATTAATGGCATACAATAAATATTAGAAAAACTAAATACATTCTGATGAGGGTGTAGGATATTGCTGGATTTTCAGTATATTGTTTCGTTTAATATATTATTTTAGAATAAGGATTTAACAAAGATTACAGTCTTCTCACTCAGGGGTCGATCAGGACATTGTAATTATCAGTGATAGCAAAGTCACCAGATACATTATATTATATGGACTTTCGATTTTAATTGTATAAAGTTTGCTTAAAGATGTAAAGACGCAATCAGCTGGCAAGATTTTGACCCATATTTTGGGATGGACAAGTACGAATCGACTTGTTTTGTCTATAATCCTAAGAAAGGAAAAAATATCAATAGTGAATATTATATAACATTGTTAATATGTTTGAAAGAAAAAATTACAAAAAAAGACTGTTACAATTCGTGCCACGAGGTGATTCTTAAGCTGGTCAAGCGATTTCTGACTGTTTAGTCAGTCAAATGTTAGTCAGTCAGACTGAAAGGCTTTAAGGAAAGAGTTTTGAATCAAATGAGAAGGTTTTATGATTTATTATATATGTCATATTATTATTAGATATTTATTTTAACTTACATGTTTTTTTTTGGCTTGTTATGATAGATTCGACCAATAACAGCGATCGAGAGGTTAGGATTTTTTATATTATATTAAAAAAAAGGAACAATTATATCATTCAGCATTAATAATTCAAATCATTTATCGATTATGGCTAAATTTTTGTCAAAAGTTTTTAATATGAATTTTACATATGAACATTTTATTACATACCGAAACCCATCAATGTCATTCATAACCTCCCAAATCGTTCGTTCCTTAAAACTATTGAAAGTTTGTTCGTCTGGATTACTATACTCGTTTTCTTTACCAGCTCTTTACTCGATTTGTTCTTCTTGGCTGTGGAAGATTTTATATTTTGGATGAAGCTGTTAAAAACTCTGGCGAGAGTTTGAATGGCGCTGTCAAAAATACATTTTTACTGTCACAACTGTTTGCTTGTAAAAGGTATTTGACAGAAAAGCCGTTGCGCCACAAATGAAAATAGCCAAATGGGCAAATGTTTGGCCCATGTTTTAGTATGAAAAAAGAAGAATCTTACATAAGTTTTGTCTACATTGTCAAACTGTATATTGATTGCCGAGGAAAAATTAGAAAATAAAAAATGAAAGTACACTGAATTAAAATTAAAGATCTTGTTGAAGTGGGCAAAAAAAAGTAAACTGAATCCCGCAAATATTATCGTAATATATTTAATTACATACGTTATTACATAAAATTTTCAACATAAAATCAATTATATTTGTTTATAAACAAAGATCATATATTTTTAAATGTCGATAAAGGTTTTATCTGCTTATAATGTATCCGTCATACGACCAATACGAGAGCAGACACCTTTACATCATTCAAAGATCATTTGTTTAGACTTTGGGATTTGAACTATGAATATTAACTATAAAAGAACAATTATAATAACTTTTAAAATAAATATTATATTTATATGGTATTAGCAACATACCGTTTGCAATAAAAATTACGTTTTTTATTTTTGGTTTTCACCTTTCGATTTCCACTCCGGAAATTGTTTTCAAAAAAGAAAGAATTAAAAAAAAAAATAAAATAAAGAGGTTTATTACTACAAAATACAAAACTTTGTATTTGCTGTTTAATAAAGAATACAACTGCAGTATAAGCGTCTAATGATGTGAATATAATATAAAAATAGACCATAAACACGTTATTTTACAAAATTTTAAAATATTGTTTTCTTTGACCTTAACTAACAATGTTTTTTAATAGACCTCCTTTAGCTTCGATGACAGCTTTTAGGTAGGATTCTCCTCGCTCTCTCTTCTCTCTCTCTCTCTCTCTCTCTCTCTCTCTCTCTCTCTCTCTTTGATCCTCCTTGGCATGCTTTGAATGTTTCTCAGGCAGTTTTCTTTTATTTTATCGTTTCCGTGCAGGTGGCAATGAGTCTCTCAATTAACTGCTGCTTATTTGTGACAGTTTCCTGGGCAATCCCTTTCTTCATAAGCTCTCATAGATTTTCGATGGGATTGAGGTCTGGGGAATTACCTGGCCACTTCTGTACTTTAATTTTCTTTTTTTCCAGGTACGATGTCACTGTTTTTGCCTTAAATCTAAATGGTACGGTGCTAAATCGTGCATAAAGGTAAAATACTTCGATTCGCCAAACCAGTCTTTGATTTGTGGCATGAGCTTTCTTTCCAGAACTACAATATACCGATGTTGATTCATCATTCCGTTCACAATGTACAGCCTCCCTGTGCCCTTACTGCTGATCACATACCATACCATGATCTTGAGAGGATGCTTTAGTCGCTTCATTATGCAATCCTTGTGATATTTTTCACCCACTCGCCTTCGGACGAAGGCCGACTTATCCATGAGTATCTTCACTGTTGACTCATCGGAGAAGCAAACCTGTGAATAAAAAAACTATAAGATATTTTTTTAGGTTAAAAACAGTGGTTATAGGGATTTAAACTTTAGTAATGATATAACCTTCCAATATACCTTATTCCAATCCTCAATTGTCCAATGTTGGTGTTCTTTGGCCCATTCCAGTCTCTTTTTCATCATTACGATGGTCAACTTTGGTTTTTTGGCAGGGCGACATGATTTGAAACCTTGCTCAGCAAGTCTTCTGCGGACTTTCATGTCAGAAACTGGCATCCTAGCTTCACGAATAAGTGCCGTGAGGATTCTTCTTGGCTTCTTTCTAATGTTTACGGAGATTTCCCTCATTTTTCTTTCGTCTCTGGGTGTAGTGACACGCTTTCGACCTCATTTTTGACACGCTGGTGAGTAATGGGTTTGTTGGTATAAATTTTTTCTTGATATTGCTCAATGTTGCTTGCGCTACTTGGCATTGTTGAGCTGTCTGACGTTGGAAAAGCTTTGTATTCAATAAAAGTGTCTTTATCTCCACCATTTTAGACACAGGGACGTCTTTAGCCTTAACCATTATGACTTTCTTTTGAAAAATCGAAATGTTTTGAGAATGTCTTGTACATAACACTACATTAAAACAAGGACAAACAGTTTAAAATTATTAAATGTAGTGTGATGTACAATTTATGTCCAATTTCATGTTTATTACATTCTGCGCTTGCTGGATAGCCCAAATTTGACGAAATGCCCTGATGATGCTGTAGAAAGCGAAATACTTGGGCAAGATTTGAATATTAAATGTGTTCTCGATATAATGCCTTAATTTTTAAAGTTCATTTATTCGAGCATTCAACCTCATATCAATTAATAAAATATGCGTATATATCTTGATTGACGACAAGGCATCTTTGTATCAGTATATTAAGTGAAAAAAGAGCGTCATTCCTTGGTCTTTGCGAAAACCAAATTGTGTATCATTACCGTCTATGTCCAGTTTGTGATGTATTCGTTTATGGATGATTTTTAGTAGTAACTTTAGCACATGAGACATCAAGCTAATGGCGCGGTAATCGCTGCATTCTCTTGAGTTTTTCTTTTTGGGAGACAAATAAAAATCAACGTTAACCACCCTTTGGGTAATACGCCTAATTTGGTTCAAGAGTGTCACTAAATCATCAATGTGCTTTTCATCTAGAATTTTTAGGACTTCTATAGGAAGCGGATGGAGGATTTCTATAGGAAGAGGACCTATTTCTTCTGGCGTAAGTTCTATGTGCTCCAGATCTCCTCTTTCATCATCTAATTCGTCGATATATTCTGCCCATCATTGTACTTTCTAGATGGTATGTGTCATAGTAGTCTCGTGTCTATCCAGAATTGCACGAGTCGAATTTTGTTTTCTTGATCCTGTCAGTTCTTTAACTTTCTTGTGTAGGTTAAACAGAACATATTTGTTTTGAATGTCTTCGATCTCTTTGCATTTCTCTTCAAAGTATTTTTCTTTTGCCTGCTTTATCATCTTTCTGATCTCGTGGTTTATCTTTCTGTATTTATTGTTGTCTTTATTTTTAAATTTTTTTTCTTTTCATTATTCTTTTTTCCTTGCGGAAGTCCTTAGTGTTCTTTACAGGGTTCCAGTAGACAATGTCTTAGTCGATCCCAGTACTCGTCAATATCATTGGTGTTTGTGTTCAATTTGCTGCAGTTTACATGCAGTTCATGTTGGAGCAAGTTTTCTTGTGTCTATTGTAGGATGTCTTTTAATATTTTAAGGGTGAATGTAATATTGGCGATACGTGGATTGTGATCTGAGGTCACGTCTGATCCAGGATATGCTTTCACGTCTTTAACAGAATTACGTTTTCCTACATTGATCATAATGTAGTCTATCTTGTTCCTGACTACTTTCTCCGATGTATCTGCGGACAATCGCCATGTATCCAGTCGTCTGTTTGGTAACTTGAAAAATGTGTTTGTAATATTCAAGTTCTGCTCTTGACAGAATTGTAACAGACGGTCTTCTCTCTCGTTTCGATTTCTCAGACCATAGTTTCCTATACACTTTGCGCTTTGTCCCTTTCCAATCTTTGAATATTTTTTCAAGAAAAAAAAATCAATCCCGTCAAAAATCCTTCCTTTGAAGAAACCCAAAAGCCTTCTTCTTCTTCTTTAGATGCAAATCCACTAATGGATGTTAGCGATCACATTTTCCATTAACTCTCTATTTCTTGCAGTATGTATCAGAGATTGTATGTCGTTAATCCCTGTCCATTGCCTTATGTTTCGGAGCCAAGACATTTTCTTGCGTCCCATTCCTCTCTTGCCTTCAATTTTACCCTCGATTATAAGTTGGAGGAACTGGTATTTTTCATTTCGCATGATGTGACCTAGATACGCCGTTTTCCTTTTCTTGATGGTTTCGAAAAGTTGGCGTTCCTGGTTTATTCTTTTAAGGACATCTATATTTGTAATTTTCGCTGTCCATGGTATTTTTAGGATACGGCGATAAAGCCACATTTCGAAAGCTTCCAATCTGTTTATATCCCTCGTTTGAGTGTCCAGCCCTCTACGCCATATAGCAGCACTGACCATACGTAGCACTTAGTAAACCTTAGTCTCAGTTGAAGATCGAACTCAGAACAAGTCAGTACCTTCTTGAATTTAAGAAAGCTTGTCGAGCTTGCTCAATGCGACATTTTACTTCCCTGTCCGATGCCCAGTCTTCAAAAAGCCACGATCCCAGGTATTTAAATTTACTCACTCTTTCTATGGATTTACTATTCAGTGTTATGGTGGAGTTTTCAAATGCATCCAAGTTTCTGGAGATGATCATGAATTTGGTCTTTTTGGTATTAATCTCTAGTCCCATTCGCTCACTGTATTCTCCGATTATAGTGACAAGTTGTTGAAGATCGACTATGTTGTCACAAATTGAGACACCATCATCAGCAATATCTTATGTTGTTGATCTGAAAAAGCCTTAAATAAGTTGAAATATCACAAAGCGCCAAAGACGCACTACATCGCCAAATTCACCAGCTAATAACGCACATATGGTTAGAAGAAAGAATACCAGCACGATGGAAGGAAAACATAATAGTGCCTATCCAAGAAAAGGAGACGACAAAACAAAATGCGCGAATTATAGAAGAATCTCACTTCTAAACACGGCATATAAAACCCTCTCAAACATCATTCTTAGTAGACTAATCCCTTATGCTGAAAATGTCCTAGGCGAATATCAAGCCGGGTTTAGGGCAAACAGATCAACAATAGATCAACTATTCACGCTGAGACAACTTCTAGAAAAGGGATGGGAGTATAACAGACCCATACACAATCTTTTCATAGACTTTCGACAGGCATATGATAGCGTAGAAAGAAGCCAAGTATGGAATGCCATGGCGGAGTTCTCAATACCAAAGAAACTCATTCGGATGACCAAAGTGTGTATGGAGGGTGGAATATCTAAAGTACGTGTAAATAATAAACTATCTGGCAGCTTTGAAATCAACAGTGGACTTAAACAGGTGATGCGTTATCTCCACTACTTTTTAACCTTGTATTAGAGAAAGCCATTGAGGTC